TATTAATAAAGAAGGGGGAGATTTGGGAGTGTGGCCATGGGGGATTTTACTTGCCTTTTATACCTTTCATAAATATTCATTTTATAAATATTAGTAAATTCAGATTGAGTTGAGACTTCATTTAGAACAACTTCATCGTGTTGCCTTTTTTTTTCGAGGACAGGCTCCTGTCTTATACCCTTCTCCCCACAGCAGTCCTTTTCAAAAACAACTTTTAATTGGTCAAACAACTTTGCATCTAACAGCAACAGCAAACACCCAGAAACTTCCATGCCTTAACGGCTGGAGAACAAGCAACCGGAGACTGCATGGAGTCACCCTTCTTTGTTCCCTCTAAACTCTTTTATATTCCTGATGGCTTCATCGTTAAGAGCCTGATGTTACCATCAACCACAGGGCTTGCCGACCCCCATGGCCACACTCCCACATCTCCCCCTTCTTATTAATATCAACCATCTTCTCAACATGAATTATTATTCATATATCACAAGAGGAAGATCTTGTCCGTCATTTGAGGATTGCTTTCAACATCTACTGTCTCTACTGTGTATCCTCACCCCCAAATCATTTGAGCCCTGTCACTGCAGACTTTATGCCAAACCAGGCAATGGCTCCCATTTGCTCAAACTGCTGCTGCTTCATTATCTTTCCCTCCTGTCATTCTCTCTTAAAAATCTTTGCCTGAATCACCCACCTTGTGCACGGGGTGGATATTTCTGCCTTCTGGTGCTCTTCTTTCCACCCATACCTAATTTAATTTCCTCACACCAAATTCCAGTTTCCAAAGTCTTTCTAACTTGTTTTCCGTGTTCTTTTTGTCCCTAATTAGACTGGGAACCATCATCACAACATGGCTGGAATGTCATTTCCAGCTGGAAATTCCTTGATATTGTCGGATATTGAGGAAGTGGTTAGAAAACTTTCTATCTTTGGCTGTTCTGGCTGCCAGCCTAGCCTGGAGGCTGTGTCTGATGAATATCAATAAACTACCGCAAGATACAAAATTAATACTTTCATTTGCAAACAGAATTCTGGACATGAAATGATGTCTGAAAGCCTGTTCCTTTCTCCTGCCTGAAATCAAAATATTTCTGCTTGCGCTATTGTACCACTTACGCATACTCTTCTGTTGTGCTCATCCCCTTAAGCATCTACCACATCTAATTTCTATTTCCTAGGGCACTGTTGTGTTCCACAGAACCCAGTTCCTCTAATCTTCAGGCACCTCAATGTTTTCTCAAATTCAGCTTTTAGATTTGAAGGTCTGTGGGTCAGGGATTCGTTTTTCTGCTAGTTTTGTCTTACTAGACATTTCTTCTCTTGCGGGTGGATTTTCTTAGAAATTTATTTTCTACATGTAATAAATCCATTCTAGGATCCTAAATTACGGTGGTGACACATACAGTCAGTTAAATCTATCCTCTCCAGCCTTGCCCGTCTTCTCGGCACAACCAAATGCACCAGAAGGTCTTGCAGCCTCAAATCCAAACCATGGCTTGGTAACTTCCATTTAACTCTTCTGCTGCCATTGGTCATTTCCTCATTTGAGCATTCCTCCATACAACCAAAAGCATCAGATGGCGTTAAACCTCACAACAGGCAAGACATCTGCAGTAGTTACCGCTCTTCACTCCAAAACTTCAAGAACTGTTTATCGGCATGCTTTTTTTTTCTTCTTTCATAAAGAAGAAAAGTTTGTGTAACGGTGTTGTATTAAATGTGCTGCAAACATTTCTCCTCTTCTAGAATTTTAATTTGGAGAAGAAAACATAAACCTGAGCAGTAAGAGACATTAGGTAAAAGTGATCTCTAAACTTTTTTTTTTTCCCAAATAGGAACTTCAAGTTCTAGAAACTTTTTTTTATTATTGTGATAAATCACAAGTTTTGTTTTTGCAGCTGTTTCATGTACTTCCATTCTGTTCTAAAAGACTCTTTCCTTCACTTTCTGATTCTTATGACCACTAATGTGAAGACAGTGTGAAATACATGGTGAAATAAAGGTGTGATTTGCAGACGGTGTACTTTTAAATGCAGTTGAACTAGGAAGTGTTGAAAAAAGGTAACAAACGCAGTAAAGCATCACTAAATTCTTCATGAAAGATATTTACGTGAGTTGTGGTGTAAACATTTGCGGAATGTGAGTCATAAAAACATAGGAATTTGATGTTTTATGAAGTCCAAGTAAGTTAGGGCAACTTTTCTATGCTTTTAAACTTCAGAAAACAGACAGACTTTTCTTTCTAGCACCGTGAGGTTCAACCATTGTGTGTGTCACTGAGGCAGCAAGGCTCAGTGCCAAGTACGGCAGGGATTGAGCTTCACTTCATCTTTCAAGTCTGTTTTAGAAGCAGCAGCCACCGCGGCTCCACTTCACGTCCAGCACCTCTGTACCGAGCTCTCGCTCTCGTACCCAGCTCTCAATTACCCCCAAGCTCTCTCTCACACCGGGCCTCGCTCCTCACAGCGCTCCCACGGGCAGCCGGGCCCTGCCGTGCCTCAGCCGCCTGCCGCCTCAGCCTGGTGCTCACCAGACACCACGGAGCTGACAGAAATGACAGAAATAACGGCGCGGCTGCAGGAGCCCAGCCCGAGCCGGGCAGGCCGCAGGGCCGGGCGGTGCCCGCCTGTTCCCGCCCCTCACCTCAGCGCCGCTCCCGCCAGCTGCGCGCGAGGCTTCTCCCTCAGGGGCCGCTGGGCGCCGCCTTCGCCCCGCTCGACGCCTCCGTGCCCCGTGCCGGGCCTCACCCTGCGCGCCCGGGCCCCTGGGTGTCCCTGGGTGCCCCTGGGTGCCCCGGGGGTCCCGGTAGCCGGCGCCCCCGCCCCGGGCCGTGCCGCGGCGCTGTCCATGGTGTGAGGGAGCGGCGGGGCCGGGCGGGGCCGCGCTGAGGCGGGAGGGGGCGGGGCCGAGCGGGGCGGGGCGGGGCCGCTCGGCGGGCGGCACGAGGCCGCGCGGTCACGTGCGCGGGCGGCGCGGTCACGTGGGCGCGCCCCCGGCGGCGGCGGCGGGAGGCCCCCTCGGGCCGGGATGTAGTCCCGGCCGGGGGCGGCGGAGGGATACCCGCGCGGCGGCGGGCCCAGCCGCAGGGCGCGGCGCCTCCTAGCGGGGCCGGGGTAGATCCCGCCGCCGTCTCCTCAGCCGCCGGGGGGGGGGCTCGGGGCCTCTCGCGAGAGCCCCCCCTCGCCTCAGCCTCACCCCTCCCGGTCCTCGCAGCTCCCCCCCGTTACCGGGAGCCTCCCGCCGGGGGCAGTACCGGCGGGAACCCAGCTCCGCTCCGCTCACCCCCCCCGGGGCGCGGCCCCCTCCCTCCCCTCCCGCCGGACAATGAGTCCCGTATGCTAATGAGCGCCTGGCGTCACTTCCGCTCTTTCTCGGCCGCCATCTTGGCCAGGGCAGGTTCTGGGCAGGAGGGACCCGGCTGTATTGTCCGCAGGGCGCCCGGGGAGACGCAGCCCCCCCCGCACCCCCCCACACGCCTCCCGCACCCCCCGCGCCCCGGGGACCGAGCCCTGTGAAGCCGCCGCCCCCCCCCCCCTCGGGGCTCGCTCCCCACAGCCGCCCCCCGCCCTCCTCCTCTTCCTCCTCCTCCTCCTCCTCCTCCTCCATCCCCCCCTCACGCAGCCCCCCCCCGCCCCCTTTGTCTCCCCCGCGCCGCCGCCGGCTGCGCTGCGCCCGCCCCGCACACACACACACACCACACACACCACACACACACACCGCTCACACCCCCGAGGCTGAGGTGCCGGGGGAGCGCCCGCCCTCGCAGCCGAGGACAGAGAGCCCCGGGCAGGTAGGTGTGTGCGCGGCTCCGCGGCACGGCCCGGCTGCGGCCGGCCCCCGCCCGCCTCAGGACACGGCCTGGACCCCCCCCCCCCCCTCCCCAGGCGGGACCCGGCCCCGGGGTGGTCGGCTGGGGGGCTGCGGAGGGGGGCGGGCGGGCCCCTTCCCTTCCCTTCCCTTCCCTTCCCTTCCCTTCCCTTCCCTTCCCTTCCCTTCCTTCCTTCTCCTGGCCGCACACCCGCTTGAAGCGCTGAGGCGGCCCCAGCGGGCGGCGGGGACCGCTACGCCGCCGCCTTCCCTCCCTCCTCCTCCTCCCCTTCCCTCCCTCTCCTTCCCTTCCCTTCCCTCCGGCCGCTGAGGGGTCCCGTCCTGTCCCATCCCGTCCCGTCCCCAGCATCCCGCCACTGCCCCAGGGCCCCGCTGGCGGAGTTGGGGCCGGAGCCAGGCGGGCAGCGGCCCCCAGCCGGCCGGGAGGAGCCGGGGATGCAGCCCAGCAGCGGCGGCGCCGCCTGGCTCGGCCCTGCCCGGCCCCGGCCGCCGACCCCCGGCTCCCAGACAAAGGCAGGGGGGAACCAGGCAGGGCCCGAGCGCCCCGCTCCGCACCCCGGGGCCGCTCCCCCCTTCCCCGCGCTCGGCGATCGCAGCCCGGGGGCGGGGGAGGGAGGGAGGGGAAGGTTTCCCAAACAAGTACCGCGGTGTGGGTGATGCTGAGCCTCAGCCTGCCCCCTTTTCTGTTGTGTTTTTTTTTTTAATCATTCTTTTTCTTCCCATCCAGCTCCCCCCCGTTCCGTTCAATCCGGGACCATGGGCTCCCGGTTTGATGACCGTGGCCGGGGAGAGGAAGGGGGGGGAAAAAACGTATAAAATAAATAAATAAATAAAAAATACCAGCCCCCACCCAAAATGCAGCGCAGCCCCGCCGGAGATGAGGGCGGGCGGCGGCAGGGGGCGCGTTCCCCGCGCCGGGCACGGCTGCGGCGGGGAAGGGCCGCGCAGCGCCGCCTGCGGCCCCCCCGCTCCCCGCCGAGCCAGCGGGGCAGGCCCCGGCCGCCTCCTGGCACCGGAGCCGAGGGGCCCCGGCCGGCCTCGAATCCCCCCAGAGCCCCTGAGAGCCCCTGCACACCTGGCCGGGGGGCTGGGGGTGGCTGGGGAGTCGCCCGGGGGGCTGAGAGGCGCCTGGAGGGGCTGCGTGGCTCGGTGAGGCTGGGAGCTGGAGGGCGTTGGGTGTCGTGGTGGGACGCGGTTGTGGCTCCTGGTGCCATTTGCCTTGGGATCTTGCTTGGCTCTTCTCACACCTTCCAAGCGCGCGGCTGCAGGGGGAGAAACTTTGGGTGTGGGGCGGCACGGAAAGGGTTGGCTGCTTTGTTAGGGGCGGTGGGCGAGGCGGGATGAGGGGAGACCTCGACGGCCTGAGACTTTGTTAGACGTGTTGGAACCATTCGGTAGGTGGGGAAGAGGTTTTGATTCCCGTTAGAAGAACTGCAGGTTTATCTTCTCCAGGTTGTTTTCACTAGCTATGTTTTTGTTCGTTTTTACTACTATTTGCCATTTGGACATGAACCATGTGCCTGAGATAATGGAGACACCATTCCTACCTGCCAACGTAGCGTGGTCTCAGGTTGGCGTGGCTGCTGCGCAGCACGGTGTGCATCTCCTGCAGGCCACCAGCATTGTTCCCTGCTGCGGGATCTCTGCTACTTAGGAAAACTTTCCCTTGGGGTGGCTGATAACCAACAATTACAGGGTTTACAGCACCTTGCCATAGTTGCCATCCGTCCAGGTGAGAAGGATGGATCATCCTGATTTAAAAAAAAAAAAAAAAAAAAAAAAGCTTCTTATTTTTGCATTTAGTAGCAATTCCTGTGTTTGGTTCTGCTTTAGACATAATTTTTACAGATGTTGGGTGGTAATTTGGTATGAGCAGATCAACATCTAACACGATATGTGTTGAAACCTTAAAACATTGAGAAGAGATAACAGAAGAGAAATGGACTGTTGTTAACAAAAATTGTACTTGAGGCTGATGGGTCATAAGGTGACTGTTACCTTTGCCGAAGATGCTTACAGTAAATAGTTACGTAAACTTCAGCCACAAACCAAAAACTTATTCTCTTCCAAAAGTAATAAAAAGGTGAACTTTTTTTGCTTTTAAAATAGCAAACCACCCTTTACTAAAATTAATAGTATTTCTTATCGTCACTTTTTTTTTTAAAGACTTTCTAGTATCTATTAGAAATGAAATGCTTCCAGTGTTCGAAGACAGCTCTCTAAGATCATTGCTAATTGATACGTCTGGAATGCTCCCTTATTAGGGAAAAAAACCCTCAGGTTATTTTTAACTTGAAGTGAATGGTTCATGATACAGATTCTATAAACCTGTATCTCATTTAGGTTACTACTGCTTGTGCTTGAAAGAGTATTAAGTGGATCTGCTAGAGCTGGAAAGTCATTGTGGGCTTGTGAGATCACTTGTGTTAGGCTTTTAGGGGAGAGGTGGTTGGATATATGAGGGATGTTGAAGGTGAAAGGTGGCTGTGTCTGCCTGTAGGTAAGAGGCGAGTGGTGAGTGTTGTCTGCTCTCAGAGTGCCCAGGAATGAAAGCTCTTCACAGCAGAGGAACTTCTTGGCAGTTTTGGAAAGCGCGTGCCCATCAGCGTTAAGCATTAGCTTCACAAACAAACCATCTAGGAAGACTGTGCGTGCTCTCTAGGATGAGATGAATAACTGATTTTTTTCTCTGTATATGTAGGATAGAAGTTACCAGTTGTCAGAAGATGCCCATTAGCATTTTCAGAATTGGTATGTGTCACTCACAGCGGTGTATTACAACAGCATTTTAATTGAGCGCGGAAATAATTCGACAGTAGTGTGAAGTATCATTTGTTAGGTACTTCCCAAACTGAGCTCTGCAGTTACCACATTCATTAGTAAAATAGAAGGGGATGCCAGAGAGATTCCTAGATGAATGCCAGCACAAATTTTCTGTGGAAGGTAAGTTGTGCTTCTGTCACACTGCGGAGTGAATAATAGATGATTATTCCCAACCCAGCTTTACTACTCCATAATAATAGTAAATACTGAAAGTAAATATTAAAATTTAAAGTAGCACTCTTGCAATGCATAACTCAATCAGAAGCACACTGGTAATCAGAAGTCATATAGCCCAAATGTGTATTCTACACTTTTATATTAAGATCTGATTTATGCTTTAAAAAAAGGGCAGAAATTGTTTTATGGGAGAAAAGGCAGTGCTCATGGGTTAGTGTATTTAGTTTTGGGTAGCTGCAAATAAGACTCAGCAGCAAGATAAGAAATGTATTGATCTTTTTATTCCAGAATTGGGAGGTTATCTTTGCTCCAGCATTTGAAGCAAGTTTGAGAAACAAAATTTGTGCATTGGAGATGGACAAAACAGCATCAGATATGGTGAGACAGTCTAGAGTCACTAGGACATAGGTGTCAGAAGAGATGCACTGAGTTTGACTTAAATTGATCAGTTAGTTCGTGTGGTCCACTGGTGTGATTTGGTCTGCTTTGGATGGGCAAAGATGCGCTTCATTTATTAGTTCATTTGTTAGTTCAGCTGAGTTTGTGTTTTAATAATGCTACATTTTCTGTTCTTTTTCTTTTTGATACATTTAACATACTTATTTAAAAGAACAACAACTGACTATGTTGGCCTGCATCTAAACAAATCATTATTATTTGTGATTGTTCAGATCTGCTCGATGCTTAAAATTATTTTGATGTTGGGTACAATTTTTATTAATACAATTTTAAAAGTGTAATAGTTAATGGGGTAGTAGTCCTGCTCCTGTAAATAAGTATGTTGGTGGAAGTTCACGTTTCCTAGTAATAGTATGAGCTATGGAGATGAGAATAAATGATACTGGTGTAAAGATAGTGTAATACAAATACCTGTATAGACATTGGAAGGTAAATAATTCCTAATTACATTAATTTAGTTAAAATATATGTATATATTCAATACCTTCTTTGTATGTGGAAGGTTTGTTTTGACTGACCTGACATATTTTGGGAAAATGCTCTTGCTTTCATAGTCAGGTTGGCCAAATTGGCTCATTCATTTTGAGCTTTCAAGAACTACTTAGATCTGGTGTAAGGACCAGACTCAGTTCTAGACTTGAAGAAAGATTTTCAGAGAGGGTGTAACTCTGGCTTACCTGTCTGAGGGCTTATATGCCTCAAGGAAAGACGGTTCTTCAGAACTTCACTGCAGCTGATGGTGAAAGGCAGACATGAGGCTCAAATTCAGCATCCCCTTCTTCACAGCATACGGCAGTTGATGAGGTGATGGTTTTGAATAAGAGCGGAATAAATACTGTTCTTTCCTGCAGTGAGTCACTTTTCACTTACCACCCTTTATATATCCTTAGGTGGTTATTTTTTTAAAGGTGGCATGCATAAAAGATTGTTTGGGTCCCTGCTGCCTGTTGGGTCCCAATTACCTGTGTAATTGTCTCTGAACACGTCACACCTGCAAGTTCTTGCCTATCCAGATCATGTGACAGAATGGTTCCTTTAGAAGCTACTTAAGAAACAGATTTTTGGAACGATTCACAAGAAATAGAAGTTTAACTATGAACACCTTGTCCACTGAGATACATTCCTCCAGTCATTTCCATGTAGGAAAGGGCACGGGCATGCTCGCAAGCCTGGCTTCTCTGACTGCTCTTTCTTCCCTATCTCCATCTTCTTTGCTCCCTTTCAGACCTCAGCCTCCAGGCGTTCTTTCCTTTACCCCTTTTACCTCTTCTGTATATTGATTTCTGATGTGACTCTGTGTATTGATTCCCGACGTGACTCTGGACCTGATAGTTCTTTGCTTGTGCTGCATCTGGGCCAAAGCGGTTCTTAGTGATGCAGATTCATAGCAGCAACAGTAAGGGGGCAAAATATCTCTTGAAATCTAAGTAGACAAAATACTGGTCTTAAAATGCTTATTATTTTTTCCTCCTAAGAAGTCAAACTCAAGTTTGTGATCTCTTGTTTTGTTTTGTTTCCCCATTCCTCCTGCTGCTGCTATGAAGCCTTTTGAGTATCGAAGGTTCCTGAGTCAGACTGAAGACAGCAGTAGCTGAGGTGGATTAATGCTGGAATGTAGTCAGGGATTGGACCGTTGGGAGCTGTGCTTAGACAGAAAGGGAAAGAGGTAAGAAATGTGGAGTGGCAAGACCGTTTTTTTTTAAGCTCTTATTTACAGTCTTTACCCAATCATTTTTTTGGTAAATGCTTTACCCAGCATTTGTGCATAGCATGTGTGAAGTGGTAAGGCAAAGGAAAAACAATTAGCATCAGCCTACTTCACAGACTATTTTTACATTTTAAATACTTAGATGCTAGCCAGTTGGCGAGGTCCGTCAGTATCTGATACATCCTCTATCTGAGAAAACATGTATTGGCAGGATTTTAGATGAGCTTGTAAAAGTGTTTGTATGCTGTCTTTTGTTTTGTTGGTTTGTTTTGCCACTTATACCAGCATGCAAGCAATGCATTTTACTAGTTAGGACACACTAAGGGGTGCAGTTTCACTCATGGTATAAATATATCTATGTCTACGCTGCCTCTACCAGGAGTGGTACAAGCCCCGCTTCCTGCCACCTCGCTCGTACCAGTCCTAGCACTTCTGCTTGGGAGTGTGGAGGAACTGCTCTGGCTGCAAAAGACTGCTTTTCAGTTGAATCAGTTCTCTGCTCTGGCTGCTGCACAAGTCCTGTTGCTGACACAGTGGTGGTGTCAAGAAAACATGATAGTGAGAAGATAAGACTACCAGTGGTGGTGTAAGGAAAACAGCATAGAAGATAAGACTGCCATTTGCATTTGCAGTCTAATTTCTGTTTGCAGTTTCACAATCAGGTGTAATCTGATCATAAATTATATCTATATTGATTACATGCTTCATTCCTGCACAGTTTAGAGATTTCTATTCGAATGTGTTTTTTTGAGTTTTGGATTGAAAGATTATGCTTGGTTTTATTTAATTTGTAACTGCAAATTCCCCAAATCATTTTCGTTCAGGGATTGTTCATGTTTAGTTACAATCCAGATGAGGATCACGTTTGGAAATTGTAAAGCATATTCATGCAGCCTTGGTTTTTCCTGATCACCGAAGTGTGGATATCACGGTGTAAGCAAATAATAGCCTTTGTGCTTCAGTGACCTCTAGTCTTGCTTTCAAATTTCTGTAAGATGGGCAGGCTTTAGTACAGTTCAAATAGGAATATTTACAAAATAACCCTAAAGAAGCAAGACTGTTGTATTGAGCATGTACATTACACATTGATTTCACTGCACATATGTGGAATAAACATAAATGGTTATCTTTGGAGATCATGAGCAATCACAAAAGATACTCAAGATAGCAGTACGGGGAAGCTTACTTCTTGGTGCTAGTGCCTCTGATTTAGTATTTCCTATGCACTGAAGTATAATGGATACAATTTAAAACTGATTTTCAGAATGCAGTAGAAACTGACAGAATTGTTGGTGTTTTTATGTGTTCAAAAGATTTTTAGAAAATATTTAAATTTAGCTAACAACGTGCTTTTTAATTTTTAACGTCAGCCTATGTCATCAAAATAAGAAAACCCAACAAATTCCTGGCAGAGTGCAAGGTAGCAGATTACTGATGAAGAAATAAGGAGTTACTGTTCCTAGAGCAGTGGGAATTCGGCCATCTCGTATTTTACACTGGGGCACAGAAATCACACAGTGTACAAAATTTATACTACTAAGCAAAGGTTGATAAGGAAATAGTTAATTTCCTTTTAGCTATGCAGTTAGTGTACACACCCACCAGATGGAGCTTCTGGCACCAGTGGAAAATTCCAGAAATCAAGCAAGAATGAGAAGTGTGTGAATGACTTAGAAGATCCCTGTCTGCTGGGCTGCAGAAGATATTTTTTTAACCTTTAAAAAAAATGAATGGAAAGAAAGAAAGATCAGCGTTCCCGAGCCTTCTCACTAGAACTGTCTTCCATAGAAGTTCTTCTTCTGTGGTGGGAAGTTGGAGTTGTTAGCATCAGAGTCACCAAGTTGAAGATAGACAATAAGCTCAAAAAAAAAAAAAGTGAGAAACAGTTTCATAAACACTTGCTGAAGTTCACATAGAATCACAGAAACAGCACGTTAAGGTCATTAGCCAAAGAATTTCCTCCAAAGGAATGTGAGTGTGGCTGCTTTTTCTATTTTTTGTTGTTTGTTTGTTTTAGTACTACATTTGAGAAAACCTACTGATGTCCAGAGAAGTGGTATGAACAGTCCTTTTTCTTTGACACGCTGATTTAATCTCTGAAATGGTTTCAAAATCTTTTTAAAGTCTTTAATTGACAAAGGAACTTTTAAGAAATAGACTGTTTGGCTGTGAAGGACAGCCAGGGGGTTTAATGCACAGAGGTCTGCAGAAGTTTTACAATACACTGACCAGGTACCAAAATACATTTGCTAATTCCCTTCAGTTCCAATTACTGTAGTTTTAAAACGCCATGCCAGATTTTTACAGAAGATTTGATTGGGTTTTCTGTTTACTTTACATCTTTCTAATATGCCTAGCCCTGTTTTAGGTACAGACACAAGTTAAAGGGCTTGGGGGCTTGTGCTAGCTGAAGGGTCTAACAGTGGCACTGCGCACACAACTGTCTAGTTGGAGTTGAGGTGTTAGAAGTTAGCTGGCAGCCATCCTGTTACATGGGCAGTAGCTGGTGTTGCAGATGGTGGAGCTGATAATGCTGTGGAGGTGCTCTGTGTTTAAAATGTTGCCAGAAGAGTAGAGCGTGTGCTGTTACAAAACAGCCTCTGTCCTGGGATTATAGCAGACTTGAAAAATGAGCTCTTAGTTGTCTGGCATTTAAGATGTGCTGTTAAACTGTAAATCTCATTACCTTCACAGGAGATGTTGGTGAACAGCTCCTATGAAAACTAGGCCAGAAATGCTTAAATAAGGAGAAGAGTGCAACTAGAGGAAAGTGGAAATGCTTATTGTAAGCCAGAGATAGCTGTGTCAGGAGTACACTCTATGCAGTCAGTGCACAGAGGAGAGGTATTGAGCTGTAACTCTTACCTTCTCATGGAAGTTTTTGTTAGTTTTTAGTTCTCCCAACTTCTCTCTTTTCCTTGGTGTTTCTGCTCCTGGTATTTTTGGTTTGCTCACTCTTCCCCGTGATACCTTTCTGCTTCCTGACTATCACTTCTCCTTGCTCAGCTGTCCTGGGACTTTCAGGTTCTGGAGCCCCAGCCTTCTTGCCAAAGATACAGGCTGTCGTTGTCCTAATGTGACTACAGAACATTATGCACCACATTACTGCATAGCATCATTGAAGCTTCATACATGTGGAGGCTGCATTTCCGTTGCTGCAGGAACCATAGGTTAATTTCCTTGCATATTTTTCATGCGTTTTTTCAAAATCTTGCCCAGTGTTGCACTAACGGCCTTCCTTGTGAGTCTGTTTTATGGCTGGCTGTTTACGGCATGCTACTAACAGCAATTAAACAGACAAATCATTAAAAATCTTATTTTAAATGCATTTGGAATAGGTTCTATGATTCTAGGGAGATAAAAAGAAAATACCAAGAAACTAACAGTCTTGTTTCATTACACCCAGGAACACGCAGCTGTTGTCAGCGCTGATACAGGCCACTGTGTTGCCCTGTAGCATGCAAACTAAGAACTTCTCCAAGTTAAGATACTATCAAAATAAGGGCTAAAATAAAAGTATTTGGGATTACACAAAGAAAGACAAAATGCCAGAAGCGTGGTGATTCTGGTCAGCAACACAACACAGGGAAATGATATTGAGTCTTTGGGCCCAGTATGGGATGAGTACTTCTGTGTGCTCAGTGCTTGTATCTTCAGACTGACACACTCATTGACACCGATCTGCTCTCAGTCCTGGTCAGTCCTCATCCAGAAGTGTTCTTTCTGCACTGAGGATGCAGTGGGAGAGAGGTAATTCAGACTTGACAGAGATACAGGGACATAAATTCTCCTTTCTAGCTGGGAAGTAATCCAGTATGAAAGAAAAGAACCCACCACTCTCACCTATTTGAAGGTATGGCTGGTCTTGTTAAAGCATATGCGGCATTCTGGTCTGCCTCACTGTGACATATTAAGAATTTTGTCTTTTTTTAATTCTGTGAAAACATTTTAATATCTTCTGTTGAAGCCATACTAGCTGAAGAAAAATGATCTTTAGTTTAAGCTGTGGATGTTCTGTCTGAATGATCAACAGAGGAAAAAATAACTGTTTTAAACAATGAAAACTGCTGTGGTAAACTAAGTGACTCCACAAATGTTGCTTTTGTAAACACTGCATTTGCTTGTTGCAGTTCTAATGGTACTATTGCTGTGTCTGGTGTTCCCAATATTTTCAAAACTGAATTTCTCTCCGTGGGTGATGTGTTGAAGAGATACCGAGTCTTCCTAGAGCAATGTAATCATTTACATGCCATTACCTGGAACGGTGTACTTCACATCCTCCTACTAACAGCCATAGAACTGGAAACTTTAATCTGAATACTTCCCAAACGAGTGTGTTTCCCTAGGGTTGTGGCTGGCAGCCATGTCACCTGTTTGATCTCCCCCTGTCTTGTAATTTAAGGTGGGACTGTAGTTGTATAGGAAACTTTTTTTTTTTTTTTTTTTTACCAGTATTGAGGGAGTGTTGGTGCTTCTTAAAGTGTGCTTGGTCTTCGGGGTGCAGCTGTGCTGTTGGTACGAATAGCTCACGTGCAGTATGAATGGAGGCCCCAGATACTTAAGTCAAAAGGTTACATGAAGTGTGATAGGAATATTCATCATGGTATCCTGCTGGATTTCTGACTTGGGTAATTCAATTGAATTGTTAGCACCGGAATATCCTTCAGGGTAACATCACCTAGAGAAATTTGTTTAAAGCCACAGATCTGCTAAAACTTCCTGCAGCATTCTTAACCTTGCTGGATTGCACCCCACAGTAGCTCCATGTCGGTAACGGTACCGCGTATGTGGTTTTAGAATCCTTCGCAATGAAATGTATGTTATAAATGTGAGATTGCCCTTACTACGTTTCTCATCTCTTGTCTTTAACACTCTGTTTTGTACAGCAGGATATGATGCTTCTTCTATGTCCGGGCTTTGGCCTCACACAGTAGGTGTAATATAATCGCTGAGGTGGGCGTTCTGCAAGGAGAATTATTTTTGGAGGCTTTTGCATGAAACTTGTCCAATGAATCTGAGACGCCCAAGCACCAATAATTTTGGAGGTAAATGCCTCATAATATGTACTGAATAGATTGGGAGGAGTTAAGATTTTGATTTGGTGAAGTACGTGCAAAAAATAGTTGAAAGGATAGTTCTGACTGTTTGTTACTGACATTTGGACGTTTTGAACTTAAAGGAACACCAACTTGAACTCTAGAAAAATTGTGGGCTTGGAGGGCTTTGAGTTTAACCATTCTGGCAGCTTTGCTGGACACTGCTAGTTAGTTTGTGGTTTAAAAGTTTCTCCCTCTTTTGGTTTATTAAGACCAACAGAGGCAAAAGTAAAAGCTAATTTTGACTACAAGGGAACTGCCAGAAGAGTGGAAAAAACTGTTTTGTGATACAAAAGTTAAAAGACGAATATAATTTAAGTTGGATGTCCCTTTAAGTTATTTATTGGAATCTGACATTTCTTATTTGAATCACCATTTAAATGTTAAATTTTAGAACCTTAAATATTTTATTATTGATATATTTTCTATCATTTGTCTATAAATTGGTCTGTCAAACTGGGCTGGAATATGCCCAACTGGAGGGGAGGGAGGAATGCTGTAGTTAAAAACAACAATGAAAAAATGAAGCCCAAAAGGGGGGGGTGGGGGATGGAATAAATAAATTTAAAAAAAAAAAAAAAAAAAAAAGCAAATGAGAGAAAATACAACAATGATGTCCCAAAAGGTTTTTTTTTAATGACAGATTTTAAATGTCAGTACTTGTCTGGGGGACGGTGGGAGGAAATTATTTGCATGAAACTGACTTAATTTAAAATTTACTGATGTTATTATGATTGGAACAAAATCAGGTTACTGATAAAATTGTGAAGATAACATGGGAAAAAAAAAAAAAAAGCTTGCCATAGCAAACAACAGTGATGTGGTACTGGCACACAGCCGACAGAAATTTAAACCTATTTCAAAGATTGACAGTATCTGGGTTGCACTGATGGTGTTGATCCTGGATTCTCATTGCTTTCTGGTTTTAATGGTAACTGTTATTGAGAAATACTCAATATTTAAAAAGGCTATTTAGTAGAGGGGTATCCTGTAGTTTTTAATGAAGTAATGTTTAGCATAATCTGAATTTTATGCACTAACTTGTTACCAAACTGCATGCATTTTTCTGATTATGCTGTGTTTCACTCTGCTTCAGCCCTTCCCTTTTAGTATTGTAGATAATAAGAAATTGGGGTTTGAATTACTAGAATGAAAATCATGGGATCACGTTACATACCTAATGTAGTCAATAGACTAGAAGAGTGGGGTGGGGGGATATATTATACAGGGAAAAGGAGGAGGTTTTTAGAATAAGGGTTTGAAACGTTGCTTTTTCTGTAGGAAAAAGATGGAGTATTGCATGCTGGGAACAAGTGCTTTCCATAAGGTAGCTAAATTTTAAAAGTACATTTGTTTCATTTTGTTTTAGGCTTTGCTTAAGTATTCTAATCTAGTAACTTTGTCCTTTCTGCAGTTTTCATTTTGATTAGATACCTCTGCAAAACTATCTTCTAAACAAATTCAGAAACCAAACCAAACAAACCTGGGCCACAACTGCAGTTCGGCATACTTCTGAATGTTGCTCAATGTGTACGGAAGAGTCTTTAAAGAATATTAGTACCAGTATAAATTCTTTCTGTGGTCTGTTTTGTATTCTATGATATCAAAATTGCAGATCTTAACATCAGTAAATTTAAAGATGTGAATGCGTTGGATGACTAAAGAGAACCAACCAAAAGTAAAAGGATTAGTTAAAAGGCAGTCTTAAGTGACACCTCTTAAAACAAAACAAACTCACCAGGCATGCTTTTGGCAGAAACTGCAATTACATAGTTAAATTCTTTTTTCCTCTATTCTTGTGAATAGCAAGAGATAGCATACTTGGAGAAAGGTTGAGTAGATGAGTCAGGATTTACTGACTCATTACTAGTCACTATTAGTTACTTCATTAACTGCAGTTAAATGTTTTGGCCAGGTTTCCCGAGGAAACAAAGCTTATATAATTTTTCAGATTGTGGCTTGTCTCCTACTGGCCTGTCATTCCTCTCAGCCAAGAATAACGTTGGGAACTTCCAAACAAATCTGAGAGAGGTGGAGGTCTGAAAAGATAAGTGAGAACCTTTTAAGCTTTGTTAAACGTAGATCTCCAGTAGGAGAAGAAACTGAGTTTTGAACGTTTACTAGTGTTTCCTTCCCAACTCTCTCCTGTTGGCCTGTTCTTTCAATTGGATGCTGCAATGCCCAAGTGGCTGCTAAAACCTGTGGGAGGAGTTGGAAGGGGGAGGGGAAACAAATCCTCCCGCTTAGGCCCAGGATTTTAAGGGTTTGACTTTTCAATATTGGATGCGCGCCGACTGCTAAGGTGCCAGTTAGGTGTTGTGCCTGGAGCTGAATGTAGCAACCCGCCAGGCGTTATCTAATATGGAGCTAGCAGAGGGTTATGATGGAGGGAGAAGAAGCAGTAAATAATCTTGGCTTATTATTTGAAGTATTCAGCTCCAAATGAGAGTTGTTGGTGCCTGACTGAGTGCATGTATAGTATGTTATTCCATGGAATACAATATTATTACAGGTACAGCAGCAGCTCATGATGCCCCGTAAAGCTTTTCTTTCCCAGAAAGAAAAGCAGGCTCGTGCCAGGGAAAGAGATATGTTAAAAAAGAGGAGGAGGCGACAAGACTATCTCAAAAGAAGCGTGGAGCCGCAGAAAAATGCAGAAACAATAAAATGGCACAGGGATGAAGAGAAGCGGAGAGAAAATGAGCAAGTTAAGGACAAAGATATCAAGAAGCGGTGGAGACAGGATGAGAGAGAACGACGAAAGAATGTGGACGCTATGAATTGGCGCAGGGAAGATGAGAAGAGGGAAAATGAGCGAGGTAAGGACCAAGAAGGCCAAGAACAAGCCAAAAAAGGAGGAGGAGAGGGGAAAAGAGCGACGAAAGGATGGACCTTTTGAAGCAGCAGAGGGATAATGAGGGGGAGAGGGAAGAGGAAAGAGTAAGAACAGTTCCATTTTATATGTGCAGAAATAACAGACTATTAGTATCATTTGGTTTCAAATTTATCTGCCTTAATGAATTACAGTTCTCACAGAGCCAATTATTTTATCAAATTGATCACTATAGATGTATGCAAATTCAAAAGTTAGTGGGATAGAAAAGACTTTATGCATTGCTTTTGAAAATGTCTGTTTTGCATGCATGCTCACAGCTAATACATTCTTCAACAATGCAGTTGTTAATACTGTGTTTCAGATCACCAAAAAGTTCAGGTTTTCTCAGTCTTCATAATAGGAATAAGTGAGAGTGTTAGGAAAGGAAGGGTCAACCAAACGTGCACGTAGAAGGTTTTATTTATTTTAATAATGTGATGTTTTATTTATTTTAATAATGTGTGCAACAGATAGGAAAAAAAAAAAAAGGTGTGCAATGACAAATGAGGTAAATTATTAGAAAAGTTGTATGGAAGTGTAAATTTCACTTTTAAGAAGCAGTCAGTTCAAGATCTGTTATGAGTTCTAAGGTACCTGTATCAAGACCTTGGCATCAAATATGTAAAACTGACAAACAGTAGGTGTTTACAGTAGGTAGGTCCCTTTTTTAAAAATTGCACCTGTATTAATTTTTATGTAAGACTTTTATCTGGAGTTACAAAATGTTTTTTGTAGTAGCCCCTGAACATTTATTTTTGGTTTATGAACTGGCAATGCATTTATGCTGCATGGTAATTTAGCTCTTTGGAGTGCTCAGACTCATCTGCTAGAAATGCAAACCAATTTAGAAATTAGAGCCCTTGGAGTAAAAAATATGGTACCTCTGCAAACATGATGGTAGCTTGCTGCCATTTTACAGCTGGAGATGTTGCAGCCCTTCTTCGAAGACGTCTTTGCCTGCAGCTGTTCACAGTAAACACTGGGGCTGTCACAGTCTTTGGTGCAATAGTGCCTCTTGTAAGCAGTAGTAAAGATTTAGCTACCTGAAAATCAGGCACTGATTCAGTTGGCTGCATCTTCTGGATTTAACATCTGATGAGCAACCTGGAAGCCACAATAATGAAGTGAACAGTTGTGTCATTAGTAAGACTACTAATTGCTCCATGACTGTGTACTTATAATTTCATTATTCAACAAAGCCAAAATGGTCAACATACTGAATATGCATAAGTTTGGGTTTTGTTCTTTTCCAGTGCCGATCCTTTGAAGCCACAAAATAAGCCTTTGTAAGGGGAAGGGGAAGGGATAGATGTCTCTTACAATGAGTAACTTCATTGTGAGGAAAAATGCTCGCAAAGTGAGTTACCAGCTTTCTACCCCTATGTTCCTGCAGGTTTTTTTCATCGTAGGCCTGGAAAAACTGAGTATCGTTACAAACTGATAAATCTAGGTCAAGAAAAAATAACTTGCTTCAAGTAGTATTGTTTTGTTCTGTAGCTTCTTTCTCTATTTGTTTCTAATTTTCACTCGATAGTCACTAGAAGCTTTGATTTTTGTAGTCTTTTTCTTGACTGACTACTTGTTCTAACTGTTCTGAGGTCTGTGAGCTTAGATAAACGTAGAACTATGTTCCCAGAATTCCCAAAGGAAATCAACAGAACAGCCAGATAGTAACTTTACAGTTCTTCTAGTATCACTAGCAATGTTGACATCATGTACTTGACTTGTATTAAAAAATGTCTTTCACTGCCTTGGTTCCCCCAGAGGACAGTTGTTTCAGAAGAATCAGTGGCCATTGCAAAGAGCATTAGGATACCTAGCATACAGATGCCTAAATTAGAATAAAATGAAAGAGAACAGTTTTTGTTTAAGCTCTTTAGAGATTCCATAACTGTTTTTTTTTTTTTTTTTTACTCACCACTTCACAGTGATGTTCTTTACAAACCTTGTTGAATGAAAATACTTTTTTCAGTTAAATGTTTAGGGTCAACTACAGTCTGTGCTTGCTGGTCATGGAAGGGTTTCCATGATGGTACAACCAGACAGGGTCATGGTAAAGAAATGGTGTTTGCAGTGATGCATTAAAAGAAGAAATGCTAGAATAGTCCACTGATGCTGTCTTGGTTCTTCTACAGTATAAGATTTTCCTCCAGATTACTTCTTGAGGTTTTTAACCTATTTCTGTATGAAAACCACAATTTTACTAATAGGACTGCGACATCAGTCACTTATACTTGTTTGTTACATCTGTAGCAAACCTCAATTATCAAACAAGTACATTAAGCACTTTGAATAATGTCTAAAAATGAAGGGGGAAAAAAGAGGCAGATGTGGACTATTTGTTGAAGATTGTAGTTCAGAGAAAAGGGCTGTCTTGATCTGAAGCCAGTGCACTTTTTCCAGAATCAGAATGGCGGTGTCACCTTGAGGTTCTCCTGAAGTTGTATACCAGAAGATCCTACGTAGTGTTCCAGATAAAGCTGGCAGAACTGAAACAGTCTTACTATGTTACCTGATAGTATCACAGGTGGTAGGATGCAGAGTAGCCCTTCTGTTGAGGTCCAAAATGCAAAAGACCCACTGGAGTCTTAAGCTTTTAGTTGCACCAAAAGAGAAAGAGCTTTTTGGGTCCAAAGACAGGTGGAAGAACTCGTTCTCGAAGCACAGAATTCTAAATCAGGCATGCAGTATTGCTTTTTATATCAATTTTCCACATAATGGCACAGTAATCCAATTTTTTTTTCTATTTTTTTAACTCCTCTTTTGACTTAGTCTTCAGGTAGTTCCAGTCCCTTGGTAACTGATGTGTTAAAGGGCTGAACTGCACCGCTATGTTAACTTGAAGTGCTTGAAGCTGATGTAGTGAGAATAGTTTATTAAAACAATAGGTAGTTTAAAAGTCACTCAGTACTGTAAGGGGAGGATGTGTCAGACTTCACATTCTGGATGTTTGTAGAAGAGTGGCTACAATTGTTCCCATCTGGAATTTGAAGAGCTAGGAAGGGTAGGAAGTGGTAAAGACATAATTTGCAGTTGAAAGATACTTTGAGTCTGTCTAAATACTAAAATCTGTTAAAAAAGAGATACACTGAAGAGTTTAGCATGGGTTAAAACTTCTGTGACTATGCTGTAGTTAATTTGTGCTAGACCTTGTTTTCATTCTGTCTTTTTCTGTCATGTCATAACAAGTCCTGTTCTCCTGTATCTTGAATATTTGCAATGGTAAGTTCCTAAGCTCAGCAGAAATTTTCTCTAGTAATGGGTCTGTCCCTCTTGTTCACTTGAGTTATGTTTTTTCCTGAAAATAACTTCCACTGGTGCTCCTGAGAGCATTTCAAGATGATAAGCAATTTTTCCCCTAGTATTATTTTCTTTCACCACCTATGGCTAACAAGCTCAGAAAACCAAGTAGAGAAAAATCCCTTTGCTTGAAGCAATGCTAACTTAGAAGTGAGGTCCGTTTTCTTTTATAGCTATGAACCTGTGTTCTTTGAAGCACTTGATTTTAAATGAACAATGTAAAATGTTGTTGCCTCTTCAGGCCTGCAGTTCTGGTTGCTTCCTAAAATGTGCTTATGATTATTATTTAAATCCATCAGCCTGTATTATGTTTTGGCTCCTTCCCATTTCAGGATATGATTCGACTGAGTAGACTGACCTGCTGGTTCCTATAGATTTCGCAAACTTCAGAAGTCTTTGTAGTTGTTTTATGCCCTAATTTTGAGGTTGTAAGATGCACATATCAGAAGTGCACTTGAGATTAAGTTCTTCCTTCCTGGGGCTCTGGAGGCTATTAAAAGTAAAACAGTGCTTCAGTTCTTAAAAGCACAATATCGTGTACACTTCTCAAGTTCTGTGAAGTCACTTACCTGCTGTTCCTCTGCTTACCTTGCAAATATTCCTTGTTTTTTTTCTCAGATTCCCACCCCTTCAGATTTTTGGATGAAGATTTGAGAGTACTTCATTCAGACCTTTCTCAACATGTATGCACTAGTTAGGAAACTTGTCTCAGTTTTTGTTCGTGCTTTGAGTATTGGCTGGTATCCAGAGCAGCGGATAGCACTGCATGAAGTTGTTCTAAACTTTCTGCCTTTGCATCTCCAAAATGTGACTGTGAAATGGAAGCTGAAGTACAGTTTCTAATTTAGTAATGATATTTTGCTCTTCTATAGCTCACCTTTTCTTATATTTGGCCACTGAATTACTCTGGGAATAATACCTGCCTATGGACTAGACCTTTATGCTAGGTACTGCATAAATACAGAGCAAAAGAGAGTTCCAGACACTTCTTATTCAGTTCTTTTGCTTATTTTACAGTTATTTTGTGTCTGGAATACTCAGACCTTTGGGGGAATAAATGCACTAAAGATGAGTGATACCTTATTAAATCAGGCATTTTTTAGAATTTCTTATAACTAGGTTAGTAATCCATTTTATTAGGTACCTGAGGATACTACCTGGATGATCTCAGTAGGGAGGTTGATGGTCTTGTGTAATTCAGCTTACGAACAAGGGCTTCCCAATGTATTTGTATTTGTGGGACCCAAGCCTAGAAATAGGATGCAAAAGGGCAGACACAAACTGAATTCTTATATCTGTTGGATCATGAACTTGGAAATAACTGCTTGACTTAGAGGCAGATCCCATTATTCCTGTTACTGCATGATGATAAATACTCAGGTTACTCTGTAGAATCATATTTGCTGAACATACATGGGATCATCTTGGCTTATTTTCCTGTGAAGGTGTGTACAGATGTGCATTCCCTTACAAAGACAAATTCTGTAATGTAGTAAATATGTATCTAGGACTTTCTGTGCACAAATGAATAGGATAGAGTAGAACCAGGCAGGAATATAACAAAAATTAGTTACGCCTTAGTAACCACGAAACAGAATACAGGGAAATACAGGGTATCCAGCTAACTGGAATGCTGTGCTGAAATTACTGTTGGATGAGCAATGTCAGCTCAGGATAAATTAATTCCTCCTTCATTTAAAAAAAATGCTGCTGAGCTTCCCTTGAGCTCTTTGAGCTCTCTAAAGATTGAATCTGTAGTACGAGGTAAGCAGTGCCTCTTCAACCATCAGGAACTGGTAGATGTGTAAAACTGGAGCTGCTTGTGCCCCTTGGAAAGACTTGTGCCTTTTATTTGTCTTCCCTGAAGTGCAGGGTATTGGAGACCGTTCTCTTTTGGCATTCCAGTAGAAAAACAGAGAAACAGCATTGAAGTCAGTTATTTTACGGAAGGATCAGTTGTGAGGACTTGTGAATCGTTATTATGGGCATCCTTCCCTGTTGAGCATGACGGATGCAGTGCAATAGCTCAAGTACCAGTTAAAGCACCCACTGCTGCTTGGGGTTAAGTAATTCTTTGGATCTGAGCTTTGGAGCAGTAAGAAGTCTTGACAGTGAAGCGGATGTGTTCCAAGTGTCCTGTCTTAAACATCAACTTTTGGTCAGGTGAAAGATACCTTTTTTCAAGAATAGCATTTGTGCCTAAACAGTGATTTGGGAGACTTAATCCCAACTGTTCTAAAGTCTACATTCAGGAATATGCCAGTAGCATGTTGTGTATACTGCAGCTACAGCTTGAGGTACTGGTTTGAAAAGAAATGAATGGAGGTGCTGAAAGTTCTTTTTGTAGTCACAAACCATAATGATATCAGGCTGTACCTGGCTCTCCATTAATTATGAGTAAATGGTCAAGAAACTTCTTAAAATAAATGAACTATATTAACTTAAGGGTGAGGTTGCTTCTTTAAGATTAGGTAAGCTGTATTCAGATGTCAGGCAGAATTTGCAAAGTAAGGTTGTTCTTCAGTTTTCAGATGGGAAGATCTAATTATATCCTGTATAATGTGATAGAAAGATTTTGATAATTTCTTGTCTTTAAGACTTGGCTGTGAGGCAGGCGGAAGGCAGAGGCAAGAAGATAGTGCAGATATAATCGAGATTGTTTCTAGGCAGTCCTAAATAATTTGCTTTCTTTATTACCTGGGTTTGTATATATCATGGTATGTTTGACATGTGCAGGTGTATTGGGCACAGTCATTAAGAGAAAACAGTTGTTTGTTTTGGGGAAAAGTTGTTGGTGGCACTCTTTATTGACATAAGAGGCTGCTGCTTAATAAACATTATTTTGAGAAATGTAGCTGACTTTCAAATTTAAAAGTTATTGCCTAAAGACAAACTCTACTGACTCTTGCTTTGTCTCAAGTTAAAAAAAAAATCTATCAGCAAAATGAGCAGATTTCTTAATGTTTGCATTAATCTTTCTACAGTAGGCATTAAGAACTGGAGATATCCTGGAATAAAATTACTAGGACATTATTTCCTTGGATTTGATATTCTTTTGGTAATGTTCATTCAAGTCCTGAACGTACCTGACTATGCTGTTTCCTATATTTTTTGACGAAAAAGTTCAGCATTCGGGTATTTACAAAGAAGCTACTGAAGGCATACTGAAACAGAACAGTCAGAGCAATGCACATTGGGTTGCCTTTAGAGAAAAATTAATGGAGCCGTGATTAATTTCTTGGCTACATTCATAGTTTTCTACTCTTGCTCTGTGAACTGCAGCAAGAAGAGCTTTTAATAAATGGATGTTACTGAGTTTAAAAAATAATAAATGGTTATGCTGTGCTTTGGAAGTGAACCTGTACTAACTTTGTAATTTAATGTTCAGAGCCATGTTTCCCAATTCTGTTTTGGGAGGAAAGTGAATAGAGTATTAAATACCGTTTTCTTTCCATCAAAGAAGGGATCTGTGTTTAAGGACAATACGTCCAGTCTGTGCACTGTCCTTTCAGATATGGCGGTGTCATAATGGCATGCCTAGCCATACCTTGTTAATAAGTGTTATTCCTGGCTTGCTATTAATGTAGCTCTGGCATCACAAGTCAGATTTCTCTTCAGACATGAAAAAAGTGACAGTGGGCTTAGTACTGGAAGGTATTTACAATGTCACTGGCCTAGGAAAAGAAACTGCAGGTTGGAGTTGCAAGTATTACAAATTCCTGTTTGCAAGGTGAATATCCATTGCTATTCTCAAATGCTTTTTCGCCATTTATGCATTTATTCTTTGTCATAAATGGTATTATTTTCATTTTACATCATCCAAAAGCAAGCTAAGTGTAGTACCAGTAAGAGGATAGAGCCTCTGCCCAGAGGTGCTTACGCAGTAAAACTGATACCACAGCATGGGCAAGGATGGGTAGAAAAGCAGAACAGGACTTTACAAGTTCTGTAATTATTTGTCAAAGCCTAATACTCAGTACAGAGGTAGAAAATTTTATGTATGCTAAGCGATTTTCTTAAAAAAAAACAAAAAAAAAAGCTTCAGTTTGTGCCTGTAAAAATGGCTCTTAATGAGAGAGAACAAAGAAGAAAGAGACATTCAGGAATTTGCTCAGAAAATCTGGTAACAGAGCCATGAGCTTGAATGCAGATTTGGATAAAATAACTGGTTTGCCTGAGTCAGCTTTCAAAATAACAAGCAGTTAGAAACTCAGATTCAAACCTCATTTCCTAGTCCCTTGTGAGGACTGAAAAACTCCCTAGCCAGGAGTGAGTAGCATTCTGAAAGGATGACAGGAATCAGTCTAATTATTTAAATGATCCCATTATTCACCCTTGTAGCAGAATGTTTGAGGCCTCGATATTTTTATAATTGCATATGAGATACTTGATTATAAAGGAGTACAGTTGAGAATGGATACGGCGTAGAAAACACCAGTTCATGATTTTCCATACTGTGTCTTTAGAGGCAGTAACTGGGCTGGGAGCAGCGCGTAGTCTACTGCCGTGACCCATTTAATCCTTACTTTTTGGAGATGCCAGGGGTACCTGTAGTAGTGCTCTCTGTAGCTTGGTTAGGGTTGGTAAATGGATTATCAGACTCTGCCTATGAAGTGTTTCATGTACATGATAATTCTTCATATTTGTAAAGTGGTTTGAGTTTCCCTCAAATGGAAGGTGGCAGATAGCATACAGAAAGCAGCTACTTTTCATGTGAACTTGAATCTATTTTTTTCTAATTCTAGTCTTTTTAATTGAGACTAGAGAGGAGTGCTAGCTGAAACACCTTTGCAATCACAGAAATTAGTGTGCTTGCATTTAGAGTTGCTGAGGTCAACAAAACAAGCTGTGGTTGTACTGAATTCTTTAACAAATCTCACTTGGAGGAAGTTAATACAGAACATCGAAATATTTGTTTCCTGGCCCATGGTGGTTTTTTTTGTTTGTTTTTTTTAAATTACGTACTTGGAGGACGTTGTGTGACAGTGCAAGTTGAAGAGTTCTGTCTGATCAGACACTTGGTTATTGTAGTCACAACCCATAGCCATTGTACTCTGAGAAAATTTCTTTGGAAGTTCCTTGTAACTTAGAGATTGCCTATCACCTCATGACAAAATGGGAGATTTTTTTCTAACTAAAATGTTTAATGGTTATAAATTTCTACTGATCCTGAATTCTAGGTTTCTGCTTGAAAGTGGTTAAAAAAAAAAAAAAAAAAAAAAAAAGAAGAAAACGTTCAAGCTTCTATCCAAAAAGCTCATTTTTAGTTCGTGTAGGTAGTCTTTGGCCCATATAGTGGATTATGGAGTTGATAAGAATCAATTTATTGTTCCATCAACCAACATCTGAACTGTCTCACAGAAATATTAATGATAAAAATGAAGCTTTGTCCTCTGGGGTGACGTTCTTTATGCAGCAGGCATTGGAGCACTAAAGCCCAGTGAACAGGGTAACCCTGACACTTCCTTGCTGTTTAAGAAGCTTCCTCCCTTTTTCTTTGAGGAAAGCCCTGCCTCCTCCTTTATTGCTGGCTCCACACCTCACCCCCTACCCACCTTCCAGAAGAACTGTATGCATACAGTGCCACTGTAAGGGTAAGGGTAGCAACGTGCAGACTGAGAACTCCCATAGGTTCAAAATAGGGCTAGTTGTTAGCACGGGGAAGAAATCTTAGTGCTAATGGTTGGAGCTGGGAGTCCGCGTACCTTATAAATTTAGGCTTTCTTTTAGTTGGACAGCCTCAGGCAATAATAGACAGTAACAGCAGTTTAATTGGAATTAGCTATCTATATAAGGAGAACTAAAAGGGAGGGTTGTCTCGTAGGCTGAAAATACCTGGTTATGTTCTGAAAGGTGCTAAGCCATCTCTTTTTTTTTTTTTTTTCCAGTGACTTCTATCTCTGAAGGGCTCTAACCAAGCTTTCAGGTCCCGTTTATTAAGAGCAGTGTACAGTGAGCAGCTTGTCAACCAGCCATTCAGACATTTAAAGCTATAAATACAGGAAATGGAGGAAACTGTTACATTTTTGCCTACCTCAGTTTTCCTCAATTCAAGGCATTCTTAACTAACAGTCCTGCTTTAGCAGTCTAAAGGTTTTCCCATCTAAGGTTGCTCACAGAATATTTTGTTGTGGTATTCATGGGTTCCTAAAATAAAAAGCTAGGAAAGCTCTGACTTATTTCATAAGCCAATGTAGAGTACTAAGAATTCATGTGTGACTGCAGTTGAATGCAAGAAGCATCTTGCTCACTGAAGAGGTACTCCTACATTCATTACAAGACTGACACAAAGCTCAACTTAGCAGATTTCAAATCAGTTAGAATATATATGCCTAAAACATAAATTGTGGTTTAAGTACCTCAGCATAGGAGGTAGATTTCATCTAAACGCAAACACTTTACAGAAAGTTATTTCCAGATGCAGTTGATTACTCCTGTAATAGTTGTTACATCTGTTTTCTTTTTTTTTTTTTTTTCACATGCTTTTTAAGTTTGTCAGTATCTAGCTTTATGGCCAGCCTCATTTAAGAACAAACCAGACAAACTGTGGTAGTTTCCTCAGTTAATGGTACAGCTCTGATACTGAATTATGGGTAAAATGAGAGAAAATAATTAAAAGTACAACTCTTCGTCAAACAAAACGCATTTGACTTAAACCTTTTCTCTTACTTTCTTTTTCAATAGAAACTATGTTCCAGCTTCCTGTCAACAACCTTGGCAGTTTAAGAAAGGCCCGGAAAACTGTGAAAAAAATACTTAGTGACATTGGTTTGGAATACTGTAAGGAACATATAGAAGTAAGTATGATACCTCCCTCCCAAGTGCTTTAGCGTTAGAATGCTCAAACATCAGTGGGATTGTGAGGTCTTTGTGTGACTTTTTTGGTTTTGGGCCTGTTTCATGAAATACTAATTTTTTACTGTAAAATTTTGAAGGGTGTTCCTAGAATCCCCTGAATCAGAATCCCATACCTTAGTCCTGTGTTTTCATCAGCTTCTGAGAATGGTTGTAGGATTCCTTTTTGAGCCATGTTGGTCAGGCATTGCTACCTCTGCACTACCTTTTTAAAACCTGTACAAAATGGGATTTAATTAATAACTTGAGCTAAAATGTACTTGTAAACACTTAGAAAGTTTAGCAGAGACGAGATACAATTCAGGCTATATATGATTGACCTGGTATATCCTGTAGATAGGTTGTCCTTTGTTTTCCTTGGATTCCTAAAAATATTTACTAACTGAACACTTAGGAATGAAGCAAGAACTAGATGTCGGTAGAGGATGATGTTGTTAGACAGAAGATGGTTCTGAGATTTTCATGGAATGCTTGTTGGTGCTGAACCATAGGTAATCAATTTAAAGAATCACTTAACGTACATCTTAGTTTCTAGAAGGGAAAGGTATTTGTGCTACTCTGCTGGACAAACTTTGTAACTGTTCTTTCAAAAAGGCAGCTCTCTCCTGAGCATGACCTTCAGAGTATGGACAATTCATACAGTTGTTTAGAGTACCCAAGGAACTGTGACTTGTTTGCTTGTCTTTTCTGTTAGTATCTCTTTAAAGAGTATTCAAGTGAGATCCTTTAAGAGAAAGAAATACCTGACCTTCCTCTTCGGGAAATTCTGGTGGAGCAAATACGGTTTTTAAGGGTATAATTGTGACAAATATTGATAATTGGGACAATGTTACTTTTAAGCATTAATTTCAGTGGAAATAATATTTTAAGATCCTTATGTGCTGCTGACATTTATATGCCAAAGATGAAACATATTTAATGAGATTTTTTTTTTTCAAACAGGAATTGGGCTACTAAAACATCATACATGTAGTCAAACTTTTATCTGAATTCCTGTGTAAAATAAATTTAAATAACATAACCAACAAAAACAATCACAAAGTTTGTGTTACAGGACCTATAAGATCTTAAACGCATAGCATTAACCAGCTATTACTATCTCAGTGACTGCTTTTGAAAATAGGGTGGGTATGTAATGACAGCCTTGGGCTAATTAGGAGAATGTGTAAAGAAAAAAAAAGTTCATGTGTTTTATATTATTGAGACTATTTACAGCTATTTACCTCCAAATAATGCATTTTAATATACAGATTTCCTTGAATTAATGTTCTCTACTATTTGCCAGCAGCACTTGAGAGAGGATCGCATGGATGCTTGCAAGAGTTGCTTAAGGGAGCAGTTGGTCTTGGGTTTTGATTATCTGTGCTCTCTTCCCATCTTTCCCTTCTCTAGGATTTTAAGCAGTTTGAACCTAATGACTTTTATTTGAAAAACACTACATGGGAAGATGTAGGATTGTGGGACCCATCGCTTACAAAAAATCAGGTTGGTAATGGTTTATGTTGACAAATCCAGTTCTGAAGATGGTTAAAGGGTGTTTTGCTATTATGCCAAGAGCTTTCCCTGCGGTTTTACCCATTGCTCAGTTGCCTTCACTTTAACGGATAGCAAAACCCCTTTTTTCTTTTCATTTTTTTTTTAGAAGCAATGATCTCAGTCTTTATTTTAGTACGTATTGATAGCCGAATATTGAAGAAAGGATTGGTGAAGAAATCTTATCCTTTGACAACTGCATGCTAATAGGCCATCTGTTTTCAAGCTTAGTACAAATTCACCTTCCTTCCAGTCAGAAGATCAACAATTTTGTATTTTGTGTTTAATTTTGTTACCTTTTCTTAAATATGTTTTCATCATTTCAGAAAAACTTTAAATGAACCTATCTAGCAGCCTCTCTCTCCACTATTGTTGTAGCTGTTTGCCACATCTGAGGATTCTCATAATCTGACTGAGGTTTGGTTTAGACATACGCAGTTCTACACAGTGAATGAAATGACACCAGAAGTCTTCCTTTTTAGATACTTGAGTCAGTAATAAAGGAGATCTGAACTGACCTGGAAGTAGGAGGGAATGCTACTATTACAGTTATTTATTTGATTTTCCTGGTTTAACACATAGTGTATTAAGGTATAGATTGCAATAGACTCTACCAATGGTGCAATATAGAGTAATGCCAGCATTTTCAGAACAGTGAGAAGGTGAGAAATCTCTCTATAAAATAAGCCCTTTCTTCAGCATCTGAGAGACCGGGTATTGTTTGTTACAGAAAATGGGAAACCATATTATGATGGATTTCTAGTGGTGGTGTTGGTCTAAAAATAGCCCTTTATTACTGTGTTCCATAAAATACACTGATGTTGTGCTTTTTTCTACTTAATTCCAGAATAAGAACCTTAATATAAAAGGAGACAGTGTTTTAGTTTTTGTATCTTGTCTCCAGCCTACCAGATGTGAGGCTTCAGAAGGTGGACAGAAGCATGTATTCCTACTTATACAAAGGAAGCCTACAGCTCTAGCTACTTTAAATCATCTGTGTGTAACATGTTTGACACACATGACGAATGTCTGTAACTATGTGAATTTCATATCTTAACTCATCTGAAATGTCAGATTGCTTGTGGCTATCTCTCAGGCCAGTGCAGTTTTAGTTCCTATTACAACAGATGACAAGAACTGCATCAGCAACGTGTTAAATATAACAAATTGAGGGAGCAGGGAAAGTAGGCAAGTATGGAACTTTCAAATATCCCTTTTTTTTTTTTTCCTTCCCCCCATCCAAGATTGTTTTAGAGTTCAGGATTGTGCTTTGATCAGAAGGAACAGGTGTGGTTGCTTTAGGGGCTTGTGTGGCCTTAGTATGTAACTTAGCTTAACTCAGCTTGCACACCAAAAATAAGTTTTGAAGAGTGTGTTTCATCTTACAGTTTGTAATAGATTAAGAGACTGAACTAGCTAATGTTTTGTATTTGTCTTACACCTATGAATGTTTAGCAGATTTTGATGGGAAGTAACTCAGGTCTTGATACTGTCTCATTCGACTCCAACAACCATGCTTTCTTTTGCCCCCCAAAAAATGAGATTATGGTGACCTTGTCCATGCTCAGTTGCAGGGAATGCAGCTTCTGTTGGCTGGAGGAGAAAGATGTTTATGATCTAGCCTTGCATGCTGGGTTTAAGGTTAAACTCTTGAAGACCTTTTAAACTGGCGCTTAGCACCTCATGTATGTTCAGATGATGAACTTGGCCTAATCTGTAGGCCCAAAATTGCAGGGAATAAATCTAAATGTTTGAGGTGGTTGCAGTAGGTTGTGAGACTATAGTTGTTTAGAGAAGTTCACAGAATTTCCATTTTTAAAACTGCTTTTCCATATTCAGTTTCTGCTTTGTTGTTTGTTTTAAGGACTATCGGACAAAGCCCTTTTGCTGCAGTGCATGTCCATTTTCCTCGAAGTTCTTTTCAGCATACAAAAGCCACTTCCGGAATGTTCATAGTGAAGACTTTGAAAATCGGATTCTCCTTAATTGTCCTTACTGTACTTTCAATGCGGACAAAAAGACTTTGGAAACGCACATTAAAATATTTCATGCTCCAAATGCCAATACACCGAGTGGAGGCATCAGCACTTTTAAAGATAAAACCAAACATGATAGCCTTAAACCTAAGCAGGCTGACAGTGTAGAACAAGCTGTTTATTACTGTAAGAAGTGCACTTACCGAGATCCTCTGTATGAAATAGTTAGAAAGCACATTTACAGGGAACATTTTCAGCATGTAGCTGCTCCTTACGTAGCAAAGGGAGGTGAGAAGTCGCTCAATGGTGCAGTTCCATTAAGTTCCAGTACCCGGGAGGAGGGTAGTATTCACTGCAAACGATGCCTTTTTATGCCGAAATCATACGAAGCTTTAGTACAGCATGTTATCGAAGACCACGAACGTATAGGATATCAGGTAACTGCAATGATAGGTCACACTAATGTAGTGGTTCCAAGATCGAAACCTTTGATGCTAATAGCTCCAAAACCACAGGATAAAAAGCCTATGGGACTCCCTCAGAGGATGGGTCCCCTTTCCCCTGGAAGTGTTCGATCTCTTTCATCCCAACAGATGATGAACAGACTCACTATACCAAAGCCTACGTTAAATTCCGCAGGAGTGAATATGATGTCAAACGTTCACCTACAGCAAAACAACTACGGAGTCAAATCAGTACCGCCAAGTTACGTTGGTCAGCCAGGGGGGAGGCTAAACTTAAGTGGTAATGCACCAGTTTCTCTTTCACAGCAGTCTCAAACAATGAAACAGTTTTCAAGTGGCAATGGAAGGCCTTACACGCTTGGAGGCGAACAGAGATCACAGGCCTCAGCAAGATACTCTCTTCAGTCTGCCAATTCGTCCTCTCTTTCATCAGCCCAGCTGAAACAAACATCATTATCTCAGTCACAGGCAGCTTCAAGAGTATTAGGTCAGTCTGGCTCCAAATCTCCGGTAGCTGCTACAGGTCCTTCTGCTGTCAATACATCATCCACACAAAAGTGGAAAATCTGTACAATCTGTAATGAGCTGTTTCCTGAAAATGTGTATAGTGTCCACTTTGAAAAGGAGCACAAGGCTGAAAAGGTGCCTGCAGTAGCTAACTATATAATGAAAATACACAATTTCACTAGCAAATGTCTATACTGTAATCGCTATTTACCCACTGATACATTGCTTAATCATATGCTAATACATGGTCTGTCTTGTCCGTATTGCCGGTCGACCTTCAATGATGTTGAAAAGATGGCTGCTCATATGCGAATGGTTCATGTTGATGAAGAAATGGGACCTAAGACTGATTCCACTCTAACATTTGATTTGACGCTGCAGCAGGGCAGTCACACGAACATCCATCTACTTGTAACCACCTACAACTTGAGAGATGCTCCTGCTGAATCTGTAGCTTACCATGCTCAGAATACTCCCCCCGTTCCTCCCAAACCACAGCCGAAAATGCAGGAGAAGTCTGATGTACCTGTAAAAAGTTCCCCACAAGCAGCAGTTCCCTACAAAAAAGATGTAGGGAAAACTCTCTGCCCTCTGTGCTTTTCAATCCTAAAAGGACCCATCTCTGATGCACTTGCACATCATTTACGAGAGAGGCATCAAGTTATTCAGACAGTTCATCCAGTTGAGAAAAAGCTAACCTACAAATGCATTCATTGCCTTGGTGTATATACCAGTAACATGACTGCCTCAACTATAACGCTGCACCTTGTTCACTGCAGAGGTGTTGGGAAGACTCAGAACGGCCAGGACAAAGGTACTTCGTCATCTCGGCTAGGCCAGTCTCCAGCTGTAGCACCTGTAAAACGTACTTACGAACACATGGAGTTCTCCCTGATGAAGAGAAGGAAAATGGATGATGATGACTCCCCCTCTGCCTTTGAGGAGAAGCCTGAAGAACCTGTAGTTCTAGCATTGGACCCCAAGGGTCATGAAGATGATTCCTACGAAGCCAGGAAAACATTTCTCACAAAGTATTTTAATAAGCAACCATATCCCACTAGGAGAGAGATCGAAAAGCTGGCTGCCAGTTTGTGGCTCTGGAAGTCTGATATCGCGTCTCACTTTAGCAACAAAAGGAAGAAATGTGTTAGAGATTGTGAAAAATATAAACCTGGTGTGTTGCTTGGTTTCAACATGAAAGAACTAAACAAAGTTAAGCACGAAATGGATTTTGATGCTGAATGGCTGTTTGAAAACCACGATGAAAAGAATTCCAGAGTCAATGTTAGTAAGACTGTTGACAAAAAAATAAACATAGAAAAAGACAATGAAAGTTCCTCAGACAGCTATGAGAATATAGAAGAGGAATACAATGAAAGCGGTAGTCCATTTGGTCCACATATTTCTGACATTGGTGGGAAAGCCTCTTCTGATAGCACAGTGGAGAACCCAGACGACAGCATATCCAAGGAAATCATTGAAGAAAATACTTTGCAGTCTCCAGAGAAGTCTGATCAAAAACAAGAGGAAAGCTCTAAATATGAAGAGATTTCTGCTGACGAGCCAACAAAACTGGTGGGTGATGTTTCAGATAGTGAAGGTGATCAGGATGAGCAAGATGATGCTGTTGAATGGAAAGATGGAGCTTCGCAGTCTGAAAGTGGGCCTGGTTCTCAGCAGGTTTCAGATTTTGAAGATAATACATCAGAAGTAAAACCAGAAGTGTGGACAGATGAATCCTCCCAAAGTGAAGATGCTGGTAGCAGTAAACCGACTGTTGAGACAAAAGAGGGTGGATCTGAAAGTGATGAAGAACAGTCAAAGTGGAAGAATCGTTCCTATGGAAAAGTAGAAGAGTTTTGGTCTAAGGACCAGTCGCAATGGAAAAATGCATCAGAGATTGAGGAGAGCTTGTCCAATCAGCAGATGGAATGGCAGAATAGCACAATTGACAGTGAGGACGGAGATCAGTTTGACAGCGTGACTGACGGGGTAGCAGAACCAATTCACAGCAGCTTAACCGGTGTGGAGCTGAGTAGCCAGCAAGCATAAGCTGCTTGATGCAGAAGTGTCAGTAATACCCACTCTACAACTGTCTAAACACTTTCATTTCAGTATGACTGCTAAGCTTAAATTCTAACTGGTACTGCCTTTCAAGTGCTAGGTCATGGTGAGTGGTGTTTGAGGCCGCTGTTACTCCAGTGGTTCTGTAAGGATGCTGTTGGCTAATCTCGCTTGAGAATACCTGCTGGGACGAGCACAGTAACTTAATGTGAAAACAGATAAGCCGGTGGCTCCAGAATGCACACAGAGAAAAGCAGAGGTTTGTTTTATCTGCATTTTCAACATTTATTTCACTCTTGTACATGTTCAGTTGTATGTCTTTTTAAACATTACCCTTTTTCACATGGTAGTGTAGGGCCAACGTACAAACTACCAGTTCAACGTGTATAGTAGACTATGGGGAAATTGATTTTTTTCATGTATCATTCTGAATAGTTGAAATGTATATTTGTACAGTCTTTTAGACCTATTCAAGTGAAGCTTATGAAATTGTTCTTGTGTACCCATCATAGATTTGTTTCTCTTTTTTAGTGTTGCCCTGCTGTGTAATAAATGCTGTATCTAGTTTACCTAGCAAAAGCTTGAAACTGCTATAGTATGACTTTTGACAAACTTAGTTTTTGCACATAACCTTGTACAATCTCAAAAACAGAGGCCAGCAACATAAAATATATCTGGACTCTATTGTATTATAGAATTTTCTTGTTCTGAATATCCTTGACATTACAACTGATGATAAACGTATTTCAGAGCCATTTTCTGAAATCTTTTAAGCTAAAAAAGAAAAATCACATGCAAGAAACAAGTTTGCAGCTACTAATTTTGACACCTTTTAGATCTGTATAAAAGTGTATTGTGTTGAAGCAGCACACTGAAACAAAAGTGCTGTGTTTTGGATATTTAGTTTTATCTTTAGTTAACACCAACAAGGTGTTGTATTCATTTATACCATCTAATATATGACACACTGTTGTAGTATGTATAATTTTGTGATCTTTATTTCCCTTTGTATTCTTCATTTAAGCATCTAAATAAATTGCTGTATTGTGCTTAATGTAAATATTTGCTTTATTACATGCAAGTGCCACATGCCTGTTTGGTAAATCCCACAGTGCTACTTTTTTTTTTTTCCATTGTCCAAAAAGTGCTCCACAGCTCTGCAGGAGCATGTATGTATAGTATTTTCTTACTGGATAGACTGATGTCTTCAAGGACATTGAAAAATCCTACAAAACTAACTTTGTCTGAATTTGTCTTTAGCATTCTAGAACACTACTTTATAAATAAAGTTATAGTGGTTGTAGTTCTGCATCCTTGAGAAACAGTCTGTGAATTACTTGCATTTTTCATCCCTTTATATACTAATGAAGATTCGATCCTTTCACATATTAAAAAGTTACCTAGAACTATGTCTCCCTCTGAAGCACTGTGCATTCAGGGTAGGGGATAGGGAAGGTATTTGAATACTTACCATTTAAACACAAAGGAACATGCCTTGCAAGCTACAGCTTTTTTTTTTTTTTTTTTTTTTTGAAGAAAAAGTAATTTGAATACTTAAACTGATTTTTATGTTTAAGATTTATTATTGGTTTGGTCATCTTGGCATTCTGGCAAGTGTGCAATACAAGACAGCTACATACCCAAAACTTCACGGAGATAATCAGTTACAGAAGGGATTTAATTGTGTTGAGAACAAAGCTATTGTTAAGTAGAGCAATGAGCCTGATTTAGGCATATGTCTAATAAAATAACAAAATACTTTCTTAACAAGAATTAAATTTACTTGTGAAATTGTCATGAATGTGCTAAAGGAGGAAGTAGTTTTGTTCAGCATTTTAAGTAGCAAAACTGTTTCACAGAGATTTTTAGAAATGTATACATTTCTATAGCAATTTTGGGTAAGTAAAAACTGTACTTTACACTATTATAACAAACAAGCCACTATATAAGCCAAATACCAAAATATTTTTATCTTCTCCTGTTCTGCAACTAACTTGTGCTGCTGACATTCTTTGGAAAGAGTATTCCTTTTTTGTTGTTTGTCTGAAAACAGTTACCTTTAGCTGAATATGATTTAGCTTTGCTTATGGATCTTTTTTACCCTTTCACAGAAGGCTTCCGTACTGCCTTTTTAACTGAGAGGTAGAGATGTTGGACTGGGTCCTACCGATACGCTCGTGTTAAGGTAACTTTTAGGAACAATACAGGAAAAATGTTTTTGATGTTTACATCAGTAGATGAGCTCTTGGGGCCTTTCTGCCTTAAAAGGAAAAGTAGAGCCTCAAAACAAGAGCCTCAACTCTCATTTTGTTAGTCAGGCTGATAATCTCTTTCATTGAAAATACCTTTACAGTAAGGTCAAATGAGACTTAGCTACTCCTTATAGATACCAGGTGGTGTTTCTTTTCCAGCAACACCAACTATTTGGAGTCCCAGAAAAGGCTGTTCCCTGACAAGAATACTTGGTTGTGTTCCTGTTGCACAAGGGACTGTCTGAATACATGACATTTCAGAATTTGTTGAGTGTCATTTCACCTAGGCTTTAAGAGATTAATTAAAAAAAAAAAAAAAAAAAAACAAAAAACACACAACTTAAAGGTTGCTGTACTACCATTTACGAGTTTTTTATCTGTTAAGTAAAAATCACTATGACTCTGCATCATATTTGTCTCAGTATCCATCAAGGTTACTTCACATTGGTGAAGCTTACAGTTCGGGCCAAATTTCTAAAGTCTGAGCTCCTGGTTGTAGTCAGTGAATAGTGAGACTGAAATATGAAGTCACTAGAAGTGTTTTATTTGCCAGAAAATGCCATTAGTAAGAAATACAATTTTATTTAGTGATTAAAGGTCTTGCATAAAAATGTTACTTACCAGAAATATTAAGGATAGGGTTGTTTCACTTTTAGCATAAGCCTTGAGTATTTCAAACAAGTTACTTTTAAAATCAGAGTATTAGTCTAGGCAAGAATTCCTTTCTAGATTTGAGGCAAACCACACATTTTGTTTTTGAGGAAGTCAAAAAGCAGAAGAGGAACAGCCCAATAAAACTAGAGAAGCCTTAAATCCAGTTTGTGTAATCTTAGGTTATCGCACTATTATAGTTGTGTGAGGTGGAAGTTACCCAATGTTTACATACCTTACTAAAGTTCTTTAGCAGAACTCCAGAAACATGCCAGCTGTGCATGCAGAGCAGCCAGCTCAAGCTGACCTATTAAGTCTGCTGGCTTTGGCCAGCACAATATAGCAGGAAGATCGTTAACTTAAGAATATGCTAAGTAATTTGCATCAGACAGTTTACCTAAATTGAAGCGAAGTTAACATGTTTAGGATGAAGCCAAAGTTATCTGAAATCTGAAGGTTTAACTGTGTGAGGAAGCAGGAGGACATCACCATACACTTTGTTTCTAGACACAAGACAGCTTTGCACAACACAATCTCTTAAGTGTGGCCTGGTAATTTGACTTTTGACAAATGCCTGAGACAGGTGAGGACAGCCTGAGATGGTTAGGGGTAGCTGCATTTTTATATGACACAATCTATTTCTATGGGTTTGTAATAGCAGTAATTTTGGACCATCATTTACTGCACTGACCTGCAGCTGACACATACTGCTTCAACAAGGACACTTTTCCCAGTTCTTTACTATACTCTGCTTCCATCCCTTCCCCCTCCCTCCTTGAAGCATGGTTACAGAACACGAGCTTTCATCCAACCTAAACAGTTATTTTCCAGCAGGAACAGAGAGACAGCTTTTGCTAAGCTAGTTTTCTATCAACAGCACCATACACTAATGTCACACTTGATCTCAGCGTTTTCCTTCAGGTACTGTGAATTAACACTTCATCTACACTAGCATTTGTACTCAGGTCAAAATCTTTTACGTGATGTTCCAGAAATATCTGCATTGAAGTTGTACTTCACAAGCTCTTAATCTTACTGAACAAGTGACATTTAACACTGCCATCCTCTGTCCAGCTGAAACGTTTCTGCAACAACTTGCCAATTAATGCTTGACCCTTCAGCAAGACAGAAACCTGAATATTTACCCAGTATTTTCATGCTAACTTTCTATCATTATCACCAAAAAATTAGTAATTTTAAATACCTGCTAATACAGTAATCCATTTTGTAGTATGTATATTACAAACACTACTAAGGTAAAATAAGTTTATTTCAATTTTTCATCAGAACCAAAAAAATGTCAGGAGCATGGTGTCTGTACTGTCTCTTCATTTCTGATAATAAAGCTGCTGCTATTTGGATAAATGGGTTGGTATAATTAGAGTATTTTGTTACCTTCATAATTAATTTTCCTCTCTATAATACCAGTTCATTTGTAATAATCCATTTCAATAACCTGCATTGCAGGGGCAGAGACATTGACTAGGTCTCTCTATTGCTTTATATTTTAATTCAACTTTATCTCTCATCATCAGTTCCACTAATAAATATGAAAAGGTTGAGTTCATTTATTTCTGCATCAGAAAAGCATTGGTCTCCATGGTTACTCAAAGCCATGTAGCTTTACTTTCACCATAAGATTTTTTCCTTTTTTTTCCTCTCCTTTTCCAGTATTTACATTGGATTCCTCCATTAAAGAGCATTTATTTCTGTTTCTCCAAATTGTGCTATATGCAAAGCCAATCATCTAGAATAGTTTATTTTTCAGAAGCAATCATCTACCATCTCAGCCAATACCCCCTCATTGTTGCCATAGTGAGATTTTCTGTGTATAAGGGAGACAAGTATCTTCTAAGTATATAACCATCTCTTTCTAGTGTTTTCTGTTCAGACAAGGGAGTGGGGTATTTTTGATTGCCCTAGACATATTTTGCTGTCAAAAAAAAAAAAAAAAAAACGCTACAGGTGGGATGTTGAACTATTCTCCTTCAGTGCTGGTTAAATAGAATCTTCATTACAAAATGGCACATCCAAAGGTCCATAATAACTTTGCAGAAAGTTTATTCATACCATTCAACTTATGTTACACAACAGCTTTTAAAACCCTACTCCTCATTTGAAGAGGAATGCTGGAAGCTCCAGCCACGTGTGGTTTATTTAATTCTTAAATTTTGATACTTATTTTATTCTGCCTTTTAAAACCCGAATATTTGTGAAGCTGGCATATTAACAAATTGTACTGATACTGTTAGCATGCTATACTAGCATGCTCTTAAACCTGATCATTTTAATTATAAAAATGTGAGGGTAAACAAAGTAAGTTTTTGTGTATTTTCTTTGCTGATTTAGTAAGCTTATAGTTAAAGCTACTGTGACCAAATCTTAGAATAAATGTTCCAGACTCTGTATGGCCACAGTAGTACCATTGGAAAGCTTTAGCTGCTCATAGAAATACTAACCGAAGATCTGACATGTAATGGTTACTTTGTCATTAGAAAGAAGCATGAGCCATAAGAACAAACCCAGCCTTTTCTAAAAAGCTGTTGGGAGACACAAATTAGTGGTTTGGGTATTTGGTACCTACGTAGTTCATAGGAAAATAGTCTTCAGTTCTGTAGAGTTTTGGCAGATCATAGGAGTGTGCTACTGATGGAGGACGACTCTGAAACAAAAACAGCACAGAAATTAATCTTATTGTTAAACAACAGGAAATAATACCTTGAGGGATTCTTCAGAATATGCACTGGAGCTGCATTCCATGCACCAACTGAGGAAGAAGATCTGGATGATGAAGTGGCTTGATTAAACCTTTAGTAGCTTGCATGAATGTCAATCAAAAGAATGGAGAGCAGGTATCCTGCTGCTAACCATTATCTCACTGTAAAGGTAGGTACACATTTAGAAATTGCTTGAATTCAAACGTACTACTTAGTATGCTCTGGCAAAAGACATGGTAGGCTCCAAATGGAAAATGACTTCATGATGCACTATGCTTGCAAACCATCTCTCTCAACTTCCTTTAGTGTTAAAGCTAATTGTTTAAAGCTGCAACTCAAAAACAAAAAAGCCTTCCACTCTATATTCTGCTTTACTTCATGAAGGACACTATACTTCCCACCATTAGAAAGTTGTGGTTTTGTCTGCTTTTAAAATGAATTCTCTACTTGCTCTGGTTCAAGGATATGCTGATGATTACTTCGATTTTGCACCTTGCATCCTAGAATGCATATTTAACCACAGCCTGTTGTAACTACAGTACTTACATAGTTAAATAGTATGTTCAAATTTTAGCACCGGGGGAAGTTACATTCCTCAGAAAGCTAGCTTTATTGTGTTTGTGCCTTTATGCCAAATACTTTTTTTTTTTTTTTTGGAGGTGGGGGAAGCAGCTTTCTTTCAAACCATGCTACTCTAAAACAGGTAAGGGCATCAGGAACTGGAATGGTAAAGTTACAAATGTTTTTGTTCATTTAATCTCCTGCTTTTGCAATACATATCTTGGGAATCCATAATGCTGTGAAAAGACGAGGGACCTCTAGCTAGTAACTTCAAACCAGGTGCATTCCATATGAACAATAGTGAAAATGAGTCTTACTCCTAAATACAGGTGATGTGGATTCTTGATCACCTATATTTTGCACGTGTGCTCTTGATCTCTTGTACAAAAGAGATACGGGGGGGGGGGGGGGGTGGAAACCCTGCAGCATCTCATAATTAAAGTTATTTTCCAATACAAGATAACTGGCTCTGTAAACAATTCTGAAAATGTAAAGTTGTTTGCTTTCACACCTGATTCTATAGACTTAGCTTAGCAATCACCTTAGCTGGATTAATATTGAACAGCTAAAAATAGAGTAGAACACAGGGGAAATCAGTTTTAAAGCACAGAAAATGCAAATTAGTTAGTAACACTGGAAAAGACTGACTAAAGAAATATAGAGAGGGATTTAGTTTTGCTTGTGGGGTTTTGAAGAATTCAAATAATTGATTAATCCTGTACTGAGGAGGATCAAATAATATTTCTACAGTGCAACTATTCAAACCTCTAGCTAAAATCACAGTCTCAACGGCAAATTAAGAACCTAACCCTCCATAAAGCTAAAGGTCTTCAGGCTCTAAACGTAATGTATATTTCCACAAAACAGTTTACTAGGTAGATGTAATCTTCACATTGATCTGTATTTAATTTTCAGTTGTGTTTCAATTCTGTTTACATAAATTTCTTGATATTCCACTGGTAATACATTGGAATAGATGCTGTCTCTCCACATACACCTAGGCACGATTTAAGACAGAAATATTAATTTATATAATGATCTAGGAACCAGGTACCTAAGCTGCATTGCTCTGCTGTCATTGTCAAAGCAGACAGGGTGACTGGGGTTCTGCTGACTAACTCTCCATTAGCCATCTAGGAGAACAAGACCACGTTCTTGGAGGACACTTACCAGATATTAGAAAATATAAATCTTGCTATGGAAGAGAAACACTTAGTGCAAATCATCAACAGACACATGTAGCTTTGCATGTTTTATGTGCAGACCCAAGCAGGAGATAAGCTCCTTTTAATGGGCAGAATTCTAGACTCTTTAATGTAGAAGGCAATCAATTTTTTTCCACCTAAGATTGAAAATCAACAGCCAGTCAAAACCACTGAGTAAGAGAAGACAAAGAATCGGAATCGATCATGCAGTACTACTAGCAACTAGGCTCATGTCTGCAAAACAGAAAGGAGAGGAAAAAACAAGCTGTAACAATCGCCTGCGTTCACAGTGCAGTACTAAGATGCTTTGGACTCTCAATAGTAAATGAGAGGCAAAGATACTGATCCCTACAACCTGACAACATTTTACAAGGAACGGGTCTGAGAAAATCTCTCCTTCACAATGTACAAATGCCATGCAGGGTTAAAAGACAAGGGCACAGGGAATCTGTGCTGCACACATCACACATACTGAAGATGAAATAATTCCTTTGTGGTCAGGCTGCTTTGAAGCTTAAAGAAAAAGCATTACAGTTGCTAGCTAAGGAGGGGGAAAGGAAAACGGGAGGAGAGGGGGTGGCTTGAAATTCCAAAGCCTATTAAAGTCATAAAAAAATAAAGGCTTAAGTGGCAACAAATGGCTTTTCACCTCCAGATCATTTGATTGGTGTCTGTCACAATATAATACAAGCTGGATTACAGTTCTTAGAAAGTTGGTGCTCTCATTAGGATGGCATCCATACCATAAATTAAAACCGCTGCTGGCAGTGCCTACAACAGCAGTTTGCTGAAGACCAGGTGGCCATAAGCCGTGTTTGTGTCTAATCCCAGCCATGAAGGCCTCAGGACAAGGAGCTGTCATCTTGCTGGCCTCTGTGAGCGCCTACAACACCTACTGCATGCCGATACACAAATCCTTATTTCTCCTCTAACTTGTCTCAGGTCAGGTCTCAGACAGCTGAGCGCAGTCCAGCAGCTTTGCCCTGCACCTGAATTCCAGCAGCAGCACTGACAGGGCTGTAATCCTTACAACCTGGCACTAGCAGGAAGCTTGCTCAGCGTTTCAAAACTGAACATTTACGACATTGGTATTTCAAGCCAAAACACGTTTTAGCACAACAGAATGGTATCCAGCACTACCGAAACCCACTGAAGTCCCCTTAGAAAACAAAGCACGCATATCTGTCTAAATCTAGGCACAGTTGCAGCCCAATCTGCAACTGCCCTGGAGTTCCTAACCAGGAGAAGGAAGCTAACAAGTAGGGAAGTCAGTGAAACGCGAGTGGGAAACAGAGCTCTGCTGGGATGCCTCATACTGCAGCTTTTCTCCCAAATGTGGAAGCCATTAACTTAAAGATCCAACAACGAGTGAATAAACTGAGGAAATAAGGAATAAAGAAATGATAGAGGAATTTAGCGTTTGGAAGGAAGAATAACAGGTTTAGATGAAGCTAGATGAAGTAGCAGAAATGAAAAGCTTAAAGCACTCTCGAGTGCTTTTGAAAAATAAAGTGCATGCAGTAATTCTGCACTTGCAGGCAACTAAAGGAAGTGGCATGTACAATCATGCCTGAAAGATTAAAACTTCTGGTGGCAGCTCCAGAGACCTCAGCGCGTTACACTTCGACAGGCAGCCCAGTCATCCAGGGAGACAAGTTGTGTGACTTACTATCCAAGGCACTAAAAGCACCCCTTGAGAAAATCAGTTTGAAGCCCCTAAAAGGCAAGCCCCCAGCTGGAAGAGCAAAAGACATGAGAGGAGTACGAAAATGACCCATTTAAGAGCTTTGTGGTTACTCTGACAACTGCACCCTAGCATCAGAACGGCGAAGTTGGGTCAAAAGGTGATTGCTTACAGATTATATCACCTCCAGGAAACAGCTTAATTCACAGGCAGATTCCACATTCTGTTGAAGAAAAAATACAAATGCTGTGCTGAACGTGTCGGCTGGCTTCGCTTCATTTTCATAGGCAGCCTTCAGTCAGCCTGCCTCAGCTCTGGCACAGCAACCTTACACTGAAGGCAAGTGCTGCAAGAATTCCTGGGGTGGACACAGGACATTGTTGCCTTGCTATTTAAGTATCTAAAAGATGTTCCAGTGATCCACTTTGGTAGATGTAGGGCATCCACCCCTGAGGGGCCGTGAGCCCAGCCCAGCCAGACAATTCACCCAGCTCTCCCTGGCTCTTTCCCTCTGCACCAGTAGGCAGAGCAAGGACGGAGCCCATGGCAGAAGCAGGTGGGCAAGCACAGGCTGTGGGGGCTTCTTGGGGTGCAGGGGCACTGCCACGGCCAGCAAGGGCACCAGCAGAAAGCTGTGGCAGCACTGTGAGGATTTCTGACCCTATTCCGAACAGTGTGTTTATCCGGGCTATTGCAATGTGCCTGATCATTACCAGCTAAAATGTTGAGCTATTTTCACAGGCAGAAAATAGCAGATTACCTGAGAAAAGGAGGAGGGATATTATTTCCCACAGAAAAAAATAAGTTAACCTTTCACATGCTGCATTTCTGGAAACTTAGTCAGCAACTTGAACTTCTGTTCTTACTTTGAAGAAAATACAGCAACCGTGGCAGACTGCACACACCACCCTACTCCCCCCCCCTTCTTTTGTAAAACAAAAAACAAGCAAACACAAACAAAAACCCTCACTTAAGGCTACTCCATTTAAAGCCTTGGTAGTTCAACTCAGACAGATTTATTAACAATAGCTGTACGGGAGCAGCTATTCCTCATCCACCTGAGCTGAGCTCCTGGTCAGTTCTGCCTCTTCAAAGCTATGAAAATAAAATATTATGTCCACACTGCTGGGCCGTGATGCTGACTTTGCCTCAAGTGCTATTCATGTCTCCACGGCTCCTGAAGCCATTTATCGTACATCTGCTGCCCACCACCTGAAGCAGCACTAACACCTTTCCCTTGACACCAATAAACATATTTGCTGCTGTTAGCTTCCAGTGGAGGACCTCCAAAGCTTCCTGGAGCACAGCTCAAGGAGCATTTCTCTGCAGAAACCTGCAACAACAATTTAAACTCTGCTATCAAAGATACGAGTTGATTCTTGCGTGTCTGGCAGAAATTATTTTCCAGATTTGGTCATTCTCAGGGGTATTAAGATCAATATGTAGACTGTAGGAACGATCAAAGCCAGGCAAAAATTGAAAGCTGTTTTTTGGGCAGCTCCAAAATCAGGCAAGCATCCTCATTTTAAATAAAAGGCACAACATTTCAAAAATGTTTATTCTGGTCCCTATCAATCTTAATTATTTATACCATTTTATAAAACAATGGCAAAATATTTTTTAATTTCAACTAAAATAGATTTAAAGTTCAACATCAAAAAATACTTAAGAATAAAAAACTAGCAATTTTGACTCTTCTAACCAGTCTTGTTCTGATTATTGCCAGTCCATCTAGTACAGTGCTAGTGGCCTCTTGTGAGACAGTTTCGGGAAAACTATGAAGTAGTAACAATATTTTTCACATCAGCTCTGATGCTGAGCACAACAAATCCTCACCTGCACATTCTTCTCAGAAGGAACCACTCTGAATCAGGGGCTGAGGATAGAACAGTCTGTGAAAGCAGGTCAGAGTCCAAAAAGGCATCACGCAGCCGAACTGTCTGCACCCACCAGAAAGTGCTGTTACCAGCCAGTTGTGTAAATGCACTGAAATCTGACCTTCTATACAAACGAAATTTTCTAAAGTAGAAAGTCGTTTCACTGCCCAACATTTCCACTGCATTAATTGCTTATAGTTTTATATCATATTGTCCAGATACCTCATACTGCCTGAAAGAAGTTTTCTCTCCTGCAGCTCCTCTTAACACAAAAGTAAGTCAAGCCACCATCAAAATTGCATAACATCTTTGGACTTCTTTTGAACCTTAAATCCATGCATATTTAAACATGAGATAATCCGCAGTTCTCTTCTCAGGCATACTATCATCCGTTAAACACTCACTATGTGCTAAGAAAATAATTTAATAAGGACATTTTTAACGGAGGAGAGGGGGTCTGACGTGCACTGCTGCCACATCAGAGACCTCTTTTGCTTTGGATGGCTTCCATGGTAATTCTTATCTCCCATTTGTGGGGCTAGCAATCCCACTATGCCAAGACAAACGAGCTCGGCTCTTCTATAGCGCGTGCTGAGTAAAACTCTCCAGTGAAAATACGGTGTCACACGTCATCTGAAGAAACAAGCGGTGTAAAAACAGTGCTAAGGGTTATCCTTAGCTAACTAACAAAGCTTCTCAGAAGCTTCTTAAAGCTTCTCAAAGTTGCTTAACCAGTGTCAAGGAATCACCTTTTAATTAGCAACTTCAAAATAGATTGAAGATTAATCCTAACAATAGCCTTACAAACTAGTCAAACACTGTTACACCTTGGGAAACCAAGACAGGAAGGTTGGATGACAGACAGACAGCAAGTCACGGCAGAGCCCAGATTTAAATCCAGGCTGACAGAGGAATTCTGGCAGATCCAGCAGCACTGGTTTAAAACTTCACTGCCTACAGCTGTCCTCCCCATTCCTCTCCCAGAGGTTATTTTTCTCTCAGGCTCAGCAGAAGGAAGTATGTCACCACACTGCAGCCATCCCAGTTCGGCCTGGCACACTACCTGGAGTCACAGAAGATAGCTAAGGTGCCAAAACTATTAATTGCAAAAGCTAGATTATGGGTATAAATTCTCTTCTTCTCTTCAAGAGAGCAGCTTCTGAAAGGGAGGCCAACAGTAAAGTCAGACCACTCCAATTTTCAGAATACAATCCTCAGAGCCCGATTTATGCTCATCTCCCCAATTTATACTTATATTCTTTACCCTGTATGACTTGCAAGAATTGGACTTCATTCTCAACTTGACTTGCACTGCATCTTTTACTATGTCGGCAAGGTTAAGAAATTTATCTCTGATTCTTTAAGCCCAGAACACACCTTGGTTAGGAACATAAATTGCAGAATATTCTTCCTGAGAAAATACAAAAGTCTATTCTGACCCTGGGACCTGTGCCTGTCGCGAGCTGAAGCCAGCAGAGCCGGACATCTGACCTCACCACAGCACCCACAAAGCCTTCCAGTACCAACCTCAGTAAATTCATGCTACAGGATTCTGTTTGAAAGCAATGGTACTTTCTCCTTTTTCCTTTAAGTCCAGGGGATTACTGTGAAGGCTTTAAAGCAGTTTATTAGCTGTCTAAAAAAACAGAAGGACACAGAGGCTTTTGCTAGGAGAGCGTGAGACAGCGAAGAGATGCAACAGTTCTGAAGAACCTCACAGCAAGATGTGTTCCAACTGTACGGTCTGAGATCTTGCGCTTTAGGCATGCTATCCACCAGCCTTTCTTCCCTTCAGTGATGAATCTAGTCTCTCACTAATATAATCACTTTCCCCTATATGCTGTTGCCAGAAGGAGCACGTCCTTTAAAAAAAAAAAAAAAAAAGTCTGGATTTGTTTTGCTGTTGCAAGTTTGTGATTGGTCTGACAGTCTGCGTCTATGAGGCTTCCTAAAGGCAGCTTGCTCTGGTTTCAGCACTCTCACTCTCCCAAATTATTTCTCAACAAGAAGCGGGGATACATTTGGGGCTGCTCCTCATGTATTAATCTTCAGGAAAGCCAAAAGGGAGCAGGACTGAAAGAAAGAATGAGGCAAACTAAGATAAATAGCAACAATAATACCAAGCATTTCTATCTGCAGGAGCACAAAAGGCAGAAACTGGACATCTGAAATTCACAATATCCTTATAGAAGGACACAAGTTAGAAGGACAAGCTCATTTTACTAATGAGACAACTCAATACATCCTTTGTCGTGGGATTTACTGCCAGCTCTGCCCCCGGAATTCCCAAGTCCCTCTCTAGAGGTACAGTCTAAGGAGGTGTGCAAGATGGGGCAGATCTGAATAGAGACTCTTACAGCAAACTGGTAAAAACAACAAGCAAGCGAAAAACCTAGTGGTGTACTGGACCAAACAGATGCATTTGAGAATGTTTAAGTTGCTGGTTCACATCACTGTAAGGCTGCTGTTTGTCATCTTAAAGGTCAGGGCAATCAGAGGAGGTTCTTGATGACTGGAAAAAAGCCAAATGTCATCCTCATCTTCAAGAAGGTCAAGGAGGAAGAGATGGGGAACTACAGGATGCTTAGCTGTACCTCATTCCCCAAGAAAATATGGAGCAAATCCTTTGGGACTCCACACCCAACACTTCAAACAAAAGAAAGTGATTGAAAATAGACAGCATAGATCTAATTAGGTCAAATAATTGATACCTAACCCAGTTAACAGCTGGCTAGAAAACAGCTTTGGAGAAAAAAGTACAGGAGCCCTCACAGGCAACAAGCTGAACCAGAATCAACGGGGTGTCCCAGCAGTGATGAGAACTAATGGCATATCGGTGTGAGTAAAAGCACAACCAACAGACTTAGGGAAGCAATCACTCCAAACTATCTCGTACCCGTGAGACTGAATCCACAGTACTGTGTCTGGTTTTGGACTCCCCAATTCATAAAGGATTTACTGCACTGACATACTTGGATCAAGTCCAGGAGAAGATGATCAAGATGCTTGGGGGCTGGCGCACATATATTGTGATGAGAGGTTAAGACAGCCAGTTTCCTCAGTCTGAGGAAGAGAAGCACAATACAGTTGATGTCTTCAACTATCTAATAGATGAAGACAGAGTTACTTAAAGAGAAAACAGAGCTGGACTCAACTCAGAAGAACACAGCAAAAAAGCTACACACAATTCATACGAGTTGCAGAGAGAGAAATACCAATCAGACATATGCAAAAGATTACAGTTGATGGTGTACTCAAAGACTGGAACAGGTGCCCAGAGAGGTCGTAAAATCTCCATCCTCAGAGATGCTCAAAACTTGATCAGAGAAGACCCTGGCAAGCCCAATCTAACTGCAGAGATGACCTTACTTTCAGTAGGGAACCAAACCTGATGACCTCTGAAAGTTGTTTCTAACTTCTATTATTCAGTAATTGTAACAGAGGCACAGAAGCAATAAATTACTTGAACTCTGTCTGTGGTCTTAATCGTGTTAACCTTGGGCTTTAAACTCAGCATTTCCAGGCTATTTATTCCATTCCCTAACTGCTGAGGAAACCCCACGTGGTATTAGGGTTATGTAGGTTTTGGTTAAGTACATTTTCTGCCTTCTTGCACAAGTTAAATTATAAATTAAAAGAAAAAAAAAAAAAGCTGTATTCATACTATTTGGTGGCACTTCAAACAAAAATGTGCAAAGTCCAACAGTACTATCTATGTCTGCTATTCACGTCCAACGCTCAAAATTAATGTATTCATTACTCACTAATGTATCACTTGCCAACTGTTTCAGTCCAGTTCCTGGGGGACTGAAAGTTACATCCACAGATGTTAGATAGCTTTTTCCCCAAAGGTGCTAAAGTGGAGGGCTAGGGATTCTCCAATAAACCTCCAATCCCATCTCTCAGTCTTTCTGCAGCAATGGGTTAAGGCATAAACAGCAGACTCCAAAGCTGTCAGTTTGAGACTTATATGAGCACTTTTTTCTTTATTAATACGGTGTCTGAGTCGAGCACATACAATGCCAGAATGGTAATAACCTCAAATTATAGGTCCCTTTACAAACCAATTCAAACCAACACGTTTTCTCGTCTAAGATATTTAAACTTGTGGAGTCTCTTGCACATGAAACAGCAGCTGAAGTCCCCAAGGAAAAACTCAAACTGCTTTCACTTTCTGGAGTAGTATCATAGACAAAAGCAAACAAAAACAATACCATCTATCTGAACCGTGAGGTAGCATTATATCCAGAAGGCAGTCTGTAATTATAATGAGAATCAGATAAAGCTAATAAAAAATAGATTGACCAAAGGGAGACAACAAAACACAAGGAGTTCACCCTCCTTTCCTTGGTGAATGATTCACTCCGTGTCTGCTGCAGTAGCCAAGTCAAGGAAAGAGCCTGCTTCGCAAGCTGGCTCTCGTTTCAATATTGCCATAATACAAAATAACCTTTCGACTCCTTGTCTAAGACGATAAAAAGCAATCAGACAGTACGAATGTGCAACATGACTGAGCTCAAGCATACTTGAAAGGCATTTGGATGTAGTCTACATGACTAAATAAGAATCTTTACAGTTATTGTACTCCAGTTCTACAAGTATTATCTATAAAATGGGGGCAACTAATCAGTATGAAACTTTGTATGTAGACTCACCCATTTTATTACAGTAGTCCCAGCAGCCCCGACCAAGTTGTCAGAACACCCCGGTGCAATTTATGACCAATGTCTCCTCTTCACCTGCTATGCACCTCACCAAAGAACTTAGCTTCATCTTCTTGGTAACTTCTTATGCACTGGGAGGCTGCTATTAGGTCCCTGTAAGGTTTATCTTCTTCAGGCTGAATAAAATCAGCTGTCTCAGGCTCTTTTCACCAATTGGGGGCTCCAGCCCCAGTATCTTTGTGGCTCTCTCTAGAGCTCAGTCAAGTTTATCAACATCTTTCTTATACTGAGGCTACCTAAACTAAACTTGGTATTCAAGGTGCATTGTAAGAAATGCCCGATAAAGAGAATAATCATTTCCCTCAATCTACTGGTCATGTTTATGTTGATATTGCCCAGTAAGGCTGATTGGTGGTAAACTGCTAACTCATGCTTAGCCTACTGTCTGAAAAGATCCCTGTGTCTTTTTCAGCAAAGCTGCTCTACACCCGGTCAGTCCCCATCTTGTACCACAGCAGGGTGTCAGTCCGTCCCAAGTACAGGATATAGTGCTTATCCTTTTTGAATTTCAAGAGATTCAAGTGAGCACATTCCTCTGGCCTCCTGATGTCCTCAGCAAGGCAGCCCTGTTCTGGAGCACAGCTCTCAGTGTGCTGTAATCCATAAACTTGATGAGGGTGCATTCTGTATCCTCCTCCGTGTCACTGATAAAGATGTTAGGCAGATGTCTGACAAACTACACCTGTAACTGAGATCCAGGTAGAGTACAATCCATTAACTACTCTTTGAATCTGATGCTCTGTTTCTTCACCCATTTAGTCTACCCATCTAGATTCTAACATGCCAGGTTGGATACAAGGATGCTGTAGGTGTCCTTAGGAAGCAATACAGACAAGGTACGCAACATCCACTGCGCTCCTCTTATCCACAGTGACATCACAGTCATGGCATTCCCAATGACCTCACAGTTAGAATGAATCTAACGTTCCTAAAAGGGAAATCATACCAGCAAAAAAACATTCATAAAGTATTAAAACAGATAGGTCTTGGTCCTACATTTCCTGTGTTTCCATGTAAGGCAATGGGAAATGAAAGCACACAGCACCTTGGACAATCCAGCAGATACCAAAAACATGGCAAGCATAGAGCAGCATTAAATTTAGCCTGACAAAACATACAATATTCTAATGCTCAATGAGAAGGCATTCAGACAGTGAAACTGATCCACCCACAAGTCGTAGCAGATGGAAAATTACACTCAGTTTCCAAGAGTAATACAGCAGGAAACAAAGATCAATGAGGTTTGGCTTGTACGTCAACCTCTAGTCAGCAGCTATGGTGCTGTTCTACAGCAGTAGAAGAAATCTGTCCACAAACACAGGGAGAGCCAGCACGCATACACTGTCAAATCAAAGCTCAGTAACTCATCTCCAGCTGAGACCAACGGCTGATGCTTAGGGTATAAAAACAGGGCAAGTATGCTGCATTGCTGCTCTGAATGCTCTCCTAACCTATAGGAATTTGCAGCATAGAGAATCTCAGAATTAGAAAGGTAACTTTGCTAAATGACTTTGTCTGATCAACTTCAACATATGTAAATCTCTCACTTACAACACTGAGTTCCAAACTTCAGTGATATATTACATGAAAAAAAAATTAGTTTTCTTGATAATAATTTCTACTTACTGCCTCATGCAATTTTAGATTTCAAAAAACTCTAATGAATCCTTCTTTAGTGTGGAAAAGAGAAGACTAAAATCCTAGTCTGCTTAGCTGCTTCTCAAAGACAGGTGGTTCCAAACTGCAGTTCCAGGTGCCTTTGCTTTTTTTGCTGCAACAGGCCCAGAATTTCAGTCAGTACTAAAGATGAAGCAATGGATTTACAGTGGTGCAAGGTTTTTATTTTCTTTCTTTGCACTTCTCTTAATAATTCCTAACATGAAATTTTCTTTCCTGCTTGCTACTGACCTGTGAGCTGAAGGCTTTCATGAGGCTGTGATGCTTGTTCAGAGACCAACACCATGCAGGGCTCACTCACATTATCCCCATTTGCATCACCTTGTATTTATTGACATTTCGTTTTGGCTACAAGTTTTTCCACCCAGTCTCTCAATGTTGCAGTCTGTCTACACTCTCTGCAGTTGGCATTCACTTCTGTGATCTCAAAATAACTGTGTCAACAAGCTTTCTCATCTCATTGTATGCCTCATTTTCTAAATCATTTGTGAACAGCATGCTAGAGATACAGCTAGCATCTGAAAAGCTTCTTCAAAGTCTTTTTGATCAGGAGCAGATAAACTCCTTGGGATCCCAACAGGATGAAGGAGTCAGCCCCACACATGTACTTTACAGGCCTGTCGTGGAACATATGTGAATAGAGATTTTAGCAGCTTGACGTGAGCACAGCCATTGTGCCTAACTGGGAAATGAATCAGCCCAAACTAAAAATTAAAGGAAAAAAAGCATAGTCCCACCACTGAGGTCCCATTTCTTTTTTATATAACAGAAATAGAGTTTTGTAGAAGCTACACCTGTTACCAAAAATAATTTCAAGACTGTAAGAATGATCATAGTATTTTGGTTTTACAATCACATATGGTCCCAATGCAGGTATTCTGGAAATGCAAGAGTTAAGCAGGAATGGACTAACCAGACTTTTCTGGAAGAAACACGATCAGGAAAGAGCCCTCCATCAATACGGTCAAGTTGTGAACGCTACGAATAAAACTCTGTGTGGGACCAGGCAAAGGAAAGGGCCCACCAGGGCTGGGTGTGGGGGGGTCTGGGCTGAGCTGTGAGGGTGACAGCAGCGCTGCGGAGCTGAGCCCAGCTGCCAGGGTGGCTCTGCACGTGCTTGATTTCTGCAGATTGTCTTGCATTTTTGTTCTTGGCAAGACAGAGCAGCTTGGGAAGTATTTGCAGGTCTGGCTGCTTAAGCAGGAGCAGCCTCACGAGGAGCACACGACAATTGCCCAAGATGGGCTTACAACATTACTGCTGCTGGAGGAGGAAAATCGTTTCCACAATAACTGCTTTCCAGCACCCCAGCTACGCTTTCTACAGCATTTCACCACCCAGATGCATTACAAAAAAAAAAAAAAAAAAAAAAAAAACAACGAAGAGCAAGCATGTTATTTTCATACCTTTTTTTTTTTAAGCCGTATTGACACATGGACTCTGCGACAAAATGAATGCTACTGGAGGCCCAAAATATCTGCACTGAATATAAATATATTATGAAATAGCTTTTAAACTCAGCCCCGAAGCACCTCGTGATTGGCTGCCAGTGATGTCAGACGTGCACAAAGCCCAATAAAAGGCAGGGGTTAACAAGTCTCCTCGCTCTGCATAAATCCCATGCAGCAGCAGAGCGGCTGGCGGCCAGGCAGGGATTAACGGGACCATCTCTCAGGTAGCACAAATACCCTGACCTCAGGCCTCGGGGTCGAGCGAGCTGCACGCTGCCTGCCAGAAGTGTGCTCCTGCACCGGTCTCAGCAGCGCTTAACTAAGCATTGTTTACTCGAGAGAAAAGCCTTCCTAAGGGACACCGTAAATCACTGTCAGATTTAAGGTTTTAAAGATGCACTCGTGCATATTCAGAGCAATTACTTTAGTCTTATCTGGTAGTTAGGATCTTCCATTTCACGTCAGAGCTGAAGCAGCTACGGTCCCCTTTTCAAACAGGAACTTGGCCTTCCGTCCTATTTGAATAAACTACTATTAGTAGAGGGAGGACCATATTTTTGCAAAACCCTTAACAAAATTAAACTCAAACGCTTATGGCAGGAATATCAACTAAGCCTTTAA